GGAGCCCTCTCATGACCTATTCAAGAGAGAGGAGATAGAAGAGCTTGCTCATTGCTCTTTAGGATGCGGAGGAGCTTTTGCACAAGAGGCAAGGAGCTCTTCTACTTCTACAAACGCATAGAAGAGCGTTTAGATGACCTGTTACGAAATAGAATAAATGCTGTCTCACGTAAGCGAGAGAGACTGATGAGTTATGCGACGCTCCATTTCAGGGATAGGCCTTCGAAACCTTCAATTAGGGTTGATCTCTCGCAAAAAGGTAAAAGAGCTATGTCATTTCCTACGAAGCGATAAGCAGCCTAGAGACAATCGGCTTCTCTCATGTTTGCTTCATGGATAGAGAAGCTTTTCTCAACCAAAACCAAAGAGACGGATCATGTCCCATTGAAAGATAGACGAGTTCTGTCTTTGTACGTTACGAGGTGGGGGAGCTCTTTCACAAGAGGTAGGTAGAGGACTCTCTCATGTCCGGCAAAGAGATAGAGACGATCTTTCATGACCCGCTACGAGATAGAGAGCCTCTTTCATGTAAAGGGTAAGATATAGAAGAGCTGTGAGCTCCTTTACCTATCGACGGGAACTCTTATAGCTTTCATGAATGAGTTCTTGCCAGTGAACAAAGGGAGCTCTTTCACAAAGGGTAGATAGAGACCTCTCTCATTTCCTGTAAAAGAAAGAGGAGGTCTCTCACGACCTGATTATTGCGAGATAGAGAAGCTATGTCATATAAAGATAAGAAATGGTAGAGCTGAGGACTCCTCTGCCTAGTGACGGGAAATCAGTTAGATAGGACATGAGAGAACTCTCATACATTTCTTATGAATGAGTTCTTCAATCTCTGAATAGAAAATGAATGAGCTCCTGTGTCTTCGCATACGAAATGACAGTGTGGAAATGAGCTGTCTCATGACCTGTTAGGAAACAGAGGAGATAAAGAGCTTGCTCATTGCAAAAGAGGAAGCGGAGGGCTCTTGCAGAAGAGGCAAGGAGCTCCTTCACTTGCTGCAAAGATACAGAGGAGCTTTCAGATGACCTATTCAGAGATAGCGAAACTCGATCACGTAAACGATAGAGATTGAAAAGTTATGTCATGCCCCATTTCAGGGATAGAGAATGGCCTTCCAGACTTTCATTTCGAATAAAGGAGAGATCTGTCACAGAAAGGTAGAAGAGCTATTCATTTCTTATTATATCACGGGTAGACAAGCTTTTTCTCAAATACAAACAAAAAACCTGGCTCATGCACCATTGAAAGATAGACGAGTTCTGTCACTCTCGATCACAAGGTGGAGGAGCTCTTTCACACGAGGTAGGTAGAGCACGCTCTCTTTTCTTGCAAAGAGATAGAGAAGATCTGTCATGACTCCATGAACCGTTACGAGATAGAGAAGCCTCTTTCATGTAAAAGATAGGTCATGGTAGAGCTGAGAGCTCCTCTGCCTAGTGATGGCAAACGAGAAATAGGAACCAAAGGAGATAGAAGAGGTTGCTCATTGCAAAATAGGAAGCGGAGGAGCTATTGCAGAAGAGGCAAGCAGCTCCTTCACTTGCTGCGCAGACACAAAGGAGCTTTCAGATGACCTGTTCAGAGATAGCGAAACTCTCTCACGTAAACGATAGAGACTGATGAGTTGTGTCCCCATTCAAGGGATAGAGAATGGCCTTCCAAACTTTCATTTCGGGTAAAGAAGAGATCTGTCGCAAAAAGGTAGAAGAGCTATGTCATTTCTTATGCATCGATAAACGGCTACTCGCATGATTTCTTCATCGATAGAGAAGCAGCTATTTCTGAATAGAAATTCACAATGGAGCTGTCTCATGTCCCAGTGAAAGATAGACGAGTTGTGGCATTTGATTTTGAGGTGAAGGAGCTCTTTCACAAGAGGTAGGTAGAGGACTCTCTAATGTTCTGCAAAGAGATAGAGCCAATCTTTCTTGACCCGCTACGAGATAGAGGAGCCTCTTCCATGTAAAGGGTAGGATGTGGTAGAGCTGTGAGCTCCTCTACCTATCGACGGGAAATTAACAAGAAAGTACATTCGAGAGCTCTTACAGCTTCTATGAATGAGTTCTTGTGATTGAACAAAGGGAGCTCTTTCACAAAAGGTAGATAGAGACCTCTCTCATTTCCTGCAAAAGAAAGAGGAGGTCTCTCATGACCTATTGCGAGATAGAGAAGCTATGTCATATAAAAGATACGAAATGGTAGAGCTGAGCGCTGGTGACGGCAAATGAACTAGGTAGGACATGAGAGAGCTCTTATACATTGTATGAGAGATTTCTTATATCTATATCTCTTGTGAACGAGTTCTTCAATCTCTGACTAGGAGATGAATGAGCTCCTGTATCTTCTCATACGAAATGACAGAATGGATATAAATGATGTCCTCTAGCTGTTAACGCAACATGAAAAAACCTCCTCTATCCCCTAAAAGAGAAGGAGAGAGGGAAGCCCGCTCATGACCTATTAGGAACCAGAGGAGATAAAAGAGCTTGCTCATTGCAAAATAGGAAGCGGAGGGCTCTTGCAGAAGAGGCAAGGAGCTCCTTCACTTGCTGCAAAGATACAGAGGAGCTTTCAGATGACCTATTCAGAGATAGCGAAACTCTATCACGTAAACGATAGCGAGAGATGCGTTATGTCATGTCCCATTTGATGGACAGAGAATGGCCCAGAGTGGCCTTCAAAACTCTTCATTGATAGAGAAGCTGCGAAGCTATTTCTGAAAATCGACATAGAAGAGAACTCTCTCATTTCCTGCAGCGTGAAAAAGGAGGTCTCTCATGACCTATTGCGAGATAGAGAAATTTCAGGTAAGAGTTAGGTAATGGTAGAGCTGGGCACGCCTCTGCCTCTTGACGAGAAATGAGCTCGTGTATACTTCATGAATGCGTTCTTCTATCTCTCAGATGAAAGAGCTCCTCGATCCTTCTTATAGGGCATGAAAGAAATCCTGTGTTCGAACTGAAAAGACCCTTTGATAAGCAAAAGAAAAAGGGAAACGAATCGATGCCTTCTATCTTTTAGTGCAGAGCTTCTCACTTCTAATGCGACATGATAGAGCTCCTCTATTTTCTTGGAAATGAAACAGCTTGCGTTCTCTCCTGAGTGAAAGATGTCTCTGTCGTGGAAATGAGATCTCCTCTATGTTTCTAAGAAATGAGATAGCTCACCTCTACCTCGTAATCGGAAATGAGAGAGCCCTTCGCCCCTCTTCAGGCTATGAAACAACTTGTCTATCTCTTACTTCAAAGTGTGCTAGAGCTACATGGCTGCACTTGCTGGCGCCGGTGCACACACAGACCAAACCTTCACTATTACTGTTACTACTACTAATACTATTACTAGAATTATTACTATTCCTATTCCTATTACTATTACTAGTACTATTATTATTCCTATTACAATTACGGTCAGTATTATTATACTCATAATAATATTAAAATTATTATTATTATTGCACTACTACTGAAAGAAGAACCAGCCGTGAAATAGACCCTAAAGGTCTCGGCCACATATATATATATATATAACACCCTCAGTTTGTGGGGGTTGGGGCCCCATTATAGACCCCCAACTGTGGCTTTTCCTGGGAGCTGGGTATAATTTGAGAAACCCATTTCAGACCCCTTGTTGGTCATGGACTTGTCGGTGTTAGCTATTGTTTGGCTCTCTAGACCACAACGGAAAGATCGTGAGACCCTTCAGTGAAGGGTTGAGGTGAAATGGGTAAGCTAGCTGGGAAAGGTCTAAAATGGTCCTATCCCCATTTCAGACCTCCGATTTCCTGACCCTCAAGGGTCACCATTCCAGACCCCCACAAGCTGAGGGGATTTTATATATGTATATATATATATATATACATCGTACTTGCCGAAAAAGACCAGAATACATCACGCTTGTTCCTCCCCTCCCCAATGGCCACGAATAGACAGATCATTGACGTGAAATAGTAGTCTTCATCATCAACATCATCATCATCATCAGAACAAAGTGCGTGACTGGTGCTGCCAAAAGAGCCAAAAAGTATGTCTGACGCACCAGACCCTGCCATGGCGTCGACGTGCGTGCGGGTCCCGCCGAGCAAGGAATCTTTTGTTCCGACGATGATGTGTGCCACAAACAACTCAAGCGTGGCGCTATCTAGCAGGAAGGGTCCGGTTCTTGCAGCTGTTGGACTACTGGACGTCTGTGCTTTGAACTACTCTACAACTATGCGACCATACCACTATGCTATACCACTGTAGCTTCTCCCACCGGAGCAGGCGTGGTCTTTTGTCTGCTTTAGACCCGCGTGTTTGGGCCGAGAAATTGCGCGAACTCAAGGTTTGGGCCACCGATCCGAAGACCTGGAGGCCGCCGGGCACCGCCTACGCCTACGCCAAGTGCACGAGACATGAAGATCTGAAGATCCCATTCCGACTTCTGCGAGCCCGAACAAGAAATTTCCTGACTCGCTTCCGAAAGCCGATTTGTCATAAGTTTCTGACCGTATTCAAGCACATCATACCCGAGCCGCGAGTCGAAGCCAGCACCATGCGTTGACAACTTAAGAAAGACATCAGATGCTTCGGAAGAGCAGTCAGGGGAAAGGGGCGAGGGCCGGGGAGGGGGAAGGCCGCGAAGGCGGTACCCCAACTTAGCAAAGACGGGCATCTTGGAGAAGCCGTGAAAAAAGTGAGAATGACATCGTGTCTCTGGCTTCTCTTTTCAAAGGCTTCAGCTTGTGCTTCGGACGGCAGAGGGGGAAAGCAGCATCTCCCTGCACAAGAGCACTCGTCAACTAAACGCATCTTGAATCCGGACATGTAGCTTCTTCCGAAAACTCAGCGATACAACCACTGCCGTGTTACGTCAACCACGAGCAGGCAGCGGGGATAGCAGTGGTGACAGGAGCGACGTCGGCTGGAGCAGACCGGAGTGATGCCAGAACCATGGACACCACCACATGTTGATGCAGAATCGCATAGCGCCCGAGAACGCAGCAGACACTTTGTTGCTAGAGCTTGACGCGCGAACTGGGTGCAGGTGCCAGCCTTCGTCGTATATCTGCCCCGGCATCGCCCATGCTGGCCACCAGGCTCGTGAAAGCACCGTTCTGCTGCAGCAGCTCAGCAGGCGAGCCAGTCTCAATCACCCGGCCAGAATCGAGCACAGCTAAGCGATCGTAGTCGATGATCGTGTCCAGCCGGTGAGCTATACACAGAATCGCACAGTCACTGCAAGCTGATCGGATTGCACTCTGCACTTGAGCATCTGTCTTCAGGTCTACACTGGCAGTACATTCATCCAGAAAAACGATTCTTTGCCTGGCAAGAAGGAGCCTCGCAATGCAGATGAGCTGCACTGTCCCCGCCGAAAAGTTCGATCCTTTCTCCTGCACTGGCTCGTCCAGCTTCTGCGGCATGCCCTGTACTTGCTCCTCCAGATGTGCCAAGCGCAGGGCCGCCAGCAACTCCGCGTCGCTGTACCGCCCACGCAAATCAAGATTTGATCTCAAAGTCCCTGAGAACATCAGCGGATCCTGTGGAACAATGGCCATGGAAGCCCGGAGCTGTGGGAGCGGCAGAGACTTGGCGCTCCGCCCCCAGACACGAATGTCGCCCGACTCTAACTCTACCATCCTGAAGCACGCCAGGAACCTCACCGTCTCTTGTGTGACCTAAAGCCGCCCTAAGCCTGCAAAGTAATTCCCCAGATCCTAAAAACCCCTTGTACGGCCTCAAACCATGAAAACCTAAACTCCGGACTGGACCTAAAAGCCTTAAACTTACAACCTTACAAAATCTAAATCCCAAAATCCTAAGAATCTAAACCCCAAACCCTAAAACTCAACCCGATAATCCTTAAGAAACACCGTGCTAAATTCACCTTCTCCGGGGACAGCGTGGATTTCCCGCTCCCCGTGCGGCCACAGATGCCCATGCGCTCGCCGGGACGCACAGCCAAGGTGAGGCCTGGCAAGAACAGGTTGAGCTTGCAAAAGCCATTTTGGCTGTTTCTTTGTTTTGCTTGGCAAGGGTTCAGAAGGGGTTTCATACGGCTTCATGAGGGTGTTACAAAGGTTGCGCTATTTGGGGGGGGGGGGGGGGGGGGGGGCGTTGGGATATCGGGGCTTGGGGCCTAAGGGCCCCTCAAGGGATTCAGGGTTTAAGGGTTTAGCGGTTGGGGGCCTAAAGTTGGGGCTTTGAAGTTGCTCGAGCCCTGAACATTAAGTCTAAGCCTGGAACAGCACTCCAACGTCCACAACATGGCTAGTCTATAGGGCGTTGGATTTGGGATTTCTTGTTGAGGTCTTAGAGAATAGCAGCCCCAAACTCCAAAATTTTGAAAGAAAACGCCGGAAAGGCCCGGCAGACCACACGAAACCAGATACAACCTAAGCAGCCCAAAGCCTAAACCCTGTATAGACGTGGACCTCGAATCCTGAATTCTGATCTCACAAACGCTTTAATCCTTAGACTTAGACCCCAAACGCTGAACTCCCAAACCAGAAAATCACAAAGTCCCAAGCCCGCAAACTCCCAAAAACCAAAAATCCAAAACTCCCACACAACTCCCGATTAAAGTTAGCCAAATTATAACCCTGGTAATAAGTTAAAAGTTGAGTAACCCATGATATGGCTCAAGGCTCTCGGCTCGAGTGAGAAGGCAAGTGGTAGGCAGTTTTCAGGTAGGGTAGCTGCCTAGATGCCATGGAGCCCACCCTCTAAGAGGGATAGCCTGGCTATCATAACCTCAGAGGTGAGCCGAGAGGGAAGGTGCATCCTTCGACTGGAGCGAACTACCAGGGCAGGGCACTTCCGCGATGCCCAGTCCCTGGAGCAGAGTTTCAGCGAGCGTGCCAAACAGGGATGCCTTCCATGGGCCTCGTGGCCAAGTGGCACCGAGGCAGCAGAGGTGCAGACCCTCTGACCCGAACAGATAGGGGCAAGTGCCGGCGGACAGGGATCAGCCCAGTATGCTTCGGGGGGACCGCAAGGCACGGTTAGTAAGAGAGTGAAAGCCGGAGCTGCGGACGAGCCGAGTCAACTGGTCTGTACAGCCTGTTGCTAGACTTGCAATCCCTGGAAAGCTGAGAGTTTGGGAGTCTGCAGTGGCGATTAGGGAACGTGATGCAGTGGCCAGTTGGCTGAAAGCACATGCCCCTTCTGGAAGCCTGCTACTTGTAACGGGCTATCGCCTACACTGGTGGCTGCTAACCAGTTCAACAATTGGCTTGAAGTGTGAGATAGATCTGGCGGGCTCTTTCGTGACTCACACAGCCAGAGGTTTTATCCTCTTTGAGATGAGTGGTATAAGGCCATCCTGACCTTTGTCATGCTGGGGTATGCCCAGTCCTACCAAGCTTAGTGTCAGGAGTTTTTAGTTTGTCCACCTTGGCCTTGCCTGAGACTCATCTACAGTAAATCCACACCGACAGCAGTGCTTGAGAGTGGGATAGCTACCAGAGGCAAGATTCCGCTTTAGGCGCTGCTTGAGGTTTATGTTTATGGGTTTGGCTTCTGCTCGGCGTGTTTCCCCGCGCCAGTGCACTTTGTGCATGGGGGAATTGAGGGGAAAGCGTGGTCCCCGCGCCTTGTTGAGGGGAGGCGTCGACCCTGCGCCAAATATACCGAGTTGAGGGGTGCAGTGTCCCCAAACCTGTCGACATAAGCCTTGTCCAGGTGGCCCCATCCACCCTCGCACAGGGTAGCTTTCTAGAGGTGCCTTCTGGAACCCTCCACACAGAGACCTGGGGCGCCAGACACTTGGCAGTGTGGAGGTGGCATCCTCGGGCTGTGAATTGGCGGACTTCACTGCCCAGGGCCCACAGGGCTGCAGGCTGAGCAGATATGGCAGTACTTTCCCTCTCAGCTGAGCAGGCGGACAACCCTGTTAGATGGGCCAAGCAACCAATTTGTACAGGTAATTGGTGCCTGTGGCCGAGGGGTCGCAGGTTCAGTGCAGAATGTCTTGCTGTACACCATCAGAGGGCTGCCCTCTTACTGACACGAAAGGGATGAGGGTGGAGGAGGGACCCACAGATTGGGGCTGCCCTCTGACCGACTAGGGAAGAAGAGGAGTGGTTGGTGAAGCTTTGCAGCAAGAGGTGCCACCCTCTAGTGAGAGGCTGAGGCAAAGACCTCATAGGCTTGAGGTCCCACCCTCAGTGTGGTACCAGTAGCGGAGAGCTTTTACCTGTACAGTCAGCCTCTGCTGCTCAAGTATTGTGGTAGTACATAGCAGTACGGACTCCGGTCCCAAACACCAAGACGGTGAACTCGCAAACCAATCACAACTCGGAAAAACAAATAACCCATGATATAACTCCGATAACTATACCCAATGTTCACCCCTAACCTTTATCTTACTTCTATCGATAGTTACGGGGGTTAGGCGGTGTACTATGTAAGTGCGCCACAAGAGTTAGCAATAAGTGGCAATAAGTTAGGGTTGAATTACAACGAAGTTACGGTCCAGATACGAAATATTTTTCCTTCTGCTCAAGCGACTGTTGGCTCAGAGCGGCTCAACTTTTGGCGGCAGCGGTAACGTGAAATCGGCATGGAAGTTGATTTGGGCGTTGCCATCGTGACTCTCCATGCGTACGCTGAGTCTTGGGAAGCTGCGATGCCCAAGTGGCGATGGCCGGCTGCGTCGTTTGAGGTCTGAAAACTCCTTCCTCCTTTCAGCTTTGGGGCCGTGTCGGCGCGGTGTCGGCCTTTGTCGGCCCGCTTCGGGCGCCATGCTGGCTGGGCATGGGTCTGCGTGTCGGCCCGCATCGGCCCCAACGTCTCTCCATGGTTTTCCCAGCGATTTTTCGAGGGATTCTTTGTCCGCCCGTGTCGGGCCCTCGTGTGCGCCGAGCGTCGGCCCGCTATTCCGACGAAAGCCCAAACAAGAACTTTTTTGCTTCTCTGTTGACCCGGGCTGCTCATTGTGACTCTTGGTTAAGACTCAGTGAAGACATTCCTGGTTTGCCCGAAGCAGCTGGCTCAGTCCTTCTTGTCGTCGTGCCTCTTCCCCGCAAGCCATGATAGCCGAGGCGTACGAGTATGACCCTGCAGACCTCGCGCCTACCCGATTTGTTGCAGAAGCTTCTCCAGACGCAAGAAAAGTTTTTTTTCAAGCCTTGCCAGCAGAATCCCTGAACCTCGCCTGCACGGTGGCGATATGATGGAGCTCACCTCCTCTGCTTGTATTGGAACAGTCGGTAAATCTACTCTCTATTACATGGCAAACCATCAACACCTCAACAAAACTCACACCAGCCAAAACCTAATTAGGTCGAAGTTACGGATCCACCCCAACTATGGCTATGACTATAACCGAACGTCTTAACCCCCAAACGCCGAAAAAAACACCTCGGACCCTCGCCCCAAAAGCCGACACATCAAACCCTAAAACCCAAAGCCCAAAGGAAGCTCGCGTCCCTCCTCCGATCTTCTCCGGCCTTGAAGAGTCAAGGGAAGACCCGCCTGATAACGCAAGTGCACCTGCAGTTGCTGTTCTTAACTTTTTTGTAGTTTCATTTTTTTTCTTGCGGGGTGGCGGGGGGGGGGGGGGGGGGGGGGTGGGATTTTCTTTCTTTTCTTTGAGAATCCCTAACCCTATCCTCCACAGAACGCATGATTTCACAGCGGGGCTTCCATTCGTCGGAATAGGTCAGAGCAGTCTGAGGGAGGAACATCTGTTCTGTCCCAATGCCGATATACTTTATGCATGTTCACCCCAACGCTGCGAGAAATGTACTCACAATTTCCATGTTTTCACGAAACATGGATAAATCAGGCGGGATACTCAGCAGCTGCAGACTCGCTGCAGCACAGGCTTCAGCTGATTTCGGGAAGAGATGCATGCCAAAGAATACGTACTTGCATACATGCATACATGCATACATGGGTGGTTGTAAAAAATATAATCCCTTTTGGGGTACCCCAAAATATTAGGCGCCGTATTAGAACAGGGATCCAAAAAGGGACGATAATTTTGACAACCACCCACATACATACATACATACATACATACATACATACATACATACATACATACATACATAGTGTAGGGTTTAGGGTGTTAAACTATTGGATTGTAAGGGTTTGAGGTTTTTAGGATGTTGGGGGTCTTCGGGCTTTTGAGGTTTTAGGGCTTTGGGGGCTTAGCATGTTTTGATCAGGGTTTGAGATTCATTGGGTTTAGGGTGGCCCTTGAGAGTTTTACGGTTACCTGGGTAATGCGGAGTCCATCAAAGCTCTCTAAGAGGTTTATGGGACTCTTCATCACTTTGGCTTGTAGTGTTTGGGCCTTTGCGCCTGAGCTGCTTTTAGCTGGGTTGCTGATGGCTTCATGGCCTGTCGGGCTTCGAAGTTTGCAGGGCGCAGATTTTGTTGGGTTTTTGCTATTGCTTTGCTGTCTTTAGGGGTCTCAGTGCGCAGGCGTCGGCATGCGCAGATTATTACGATTGAAGCCCTCAACAAAGATTCCCCTCCACTGCCGCTGGGATGCAGAACAGAGTGCAAGGTGTCTAGTTTGTTTGCATGACGTGGAACGCAAAATACCGTCAGCACCTAAGCCCTACAACCTCAAACCAAAAGCGATTGAACCCTGGAAACTCCATTCTGCGAAGTTGAGAAACCTAACGTTCCTAAAGCCCTCCGAACCGGCCCCCCCACCCCCCCACCTCCCGTAGCTCCAAAGCGACTGGCGACTCAGTGCCAGCCTCGCCTTCCGACTTTACGCGAACGCCCTCCTTCCAGTAGTCGTGGTCCTTCTTAGTCTTGGCTTGGAGATGTAGGGTTCACCACGAAGTGGGTGTTGGCATTTTGGGTGTAGGGTTCAGGGTTTCAAGGTAGGTCTAGGGTTCAGGGGATGTAAAGGAGGGATGAGGTAGGCTTCACATCTAAAGGTTTAACGGTTTAACCCTGAAACTACTCGGATTTAATGCTTTTTGGTCACATGCCGCTTCAGGCTTAGGCTTCAAAAAGGTCTTTGGTGACCCCGAACCGGACCTCGCTCGTCACAGGGTTCTGGCTTAGCGGCGCGTCAGAAGAGGCCCTAGCTAGTGGATCTGTGCTTGAACCAGGTTCACTGCTCACAGCAGAGGGGATCGTGGGTCTGGACTCCCAAACACAAATATCCTAAACGGTTCTAAGCCCCAAACCCTGCCTGGGTGCAGAGGTGCATAGAAGCCCCATAGAAACCCAATGGAAGCCCCATAGCCATAGAAACCCTGCTGAAACCCATGCAAATCCTGCAGATATAAGAATCTTTGACCACAACGCAAAGGTGCAGAGGTGTTCGGTCTGTCGGCAGTCCTGTTTGCCGCCTTCCCATGCCAAGCCTGCATATTCGGCAACGCGCTGCGCACCCCCGAAGAACTTCTCCTAGGCTCATGTTGAGGAACTCAGCTTCAGATGCCAAGACAGGGGAAGCTTACTGCATCTGTATACCAGTAAATTCCGCAAGTCTCGAAGGTGCTCCAGCACCACATGTACATAGGAATGCGCTGGGCGAGGCCGACAGTCAGAGCCAAACCCAATCCCCCCAGTTCGGGAGTTAAACTGTCGGCGTAGACGAGCAGCATCACAGAGGCACCCAAGCAGAGCGTGATGAAAGGGACGCAGACTGTAGTCAGCAACCCCATAGCTAAGCGATCGACAGCGTGGATCCAGTAGTAGGTCTTGTAATATCCATCCATCGTCTGGAAGAAGCGCTTGACGAAGTGCCGCTCTCGCTGGAAAGCCCGGATGGTGTCCATGGCCAAGAGGAAACCTGAGACCTGGGACATCACAGGGCTCGTCGCAATGAGCATCAGCCTCTGAAGGTTCAAGGCAACGGAGCCGTAACGATCCTGTAGGCGCCGGAGAGGCCAGCCAATCAGCAGCAAGACGAGCAGGGCTGGCCAAGCGAGCACGCTGGCCCCGATGATGCCCACAAAGACCACAGTGAAGTGCTGCATTGCGAACTCAAAGAGTCGCGGCATCTGAAGATCCATCAAAGAAATATCTTGTGAGAAGCGGTTCAGAACTCGTCCCAACGGCGTGGTGTCATACCAGCTCAGCGGCTGGCGCAGCACCGATGCCAACATCTTCTGGTGCAGGTGGCGAGAAATCTTGGTGAAGTACATAGCCGCAGAAGACACCTAGGTCTAGCTTCGATTCCAGGATTGAGAAGGCAACGCTGTCAATAAAATCCACAATGCGCCAAGGCACCCTGAAGGTACAACACAAAGCAAAGGCCAGAGAAGCGATGAGATAGTTTCTCTGGTAGTCGAACGCTGGCCCCTCCTTTGCCTTTTACCACCAGCTTTGAGATGGGGGATCGGGAACGATAAGCCCTAGCAATAGCCTACAAACCCTACAAACGTTACAAACCTGACAAAACTTACAAGCCTTACACACCCAGTTCAGGCTTTGCTTCCAGCAGTCTTCCAGCACTTCCCCGGCGAGCCTCCCGAATCCAAGCCGCCAGGAGGACGTTCGAGAGAAACATCGCAAGCGGTACCAGCAAGGAGGACAGCGCCAGGAAAAGCCCAAGAAAGGTTGACTGGCCTCAATGTCCAGCATGAGTCTAAGAGAAGAGGGGCTTGAGGTTTGTTTGTTGCGTGTGACTATTTTTGCCTTTGCCAACCATGAGTCTATAAGTATACGAGAAAAGAGGCTTGGGGTTCCGGATGTTGTCTGTGACTACTAAGTAGTGGCGAAAACCCTTTGAACCTTTTATGGAAGTGGTCTCGCGGGCTCTCGCGCGGCCTTTTGCAGATCTCTTCGCGCGCTGACGCGCACGTGTTTTTTGGGCGTTGCACTGACGCGGACTATCGCGGGAAGAAGCTCCTACCCTCTCGCGCGCTATCGCGCGCTCTCGTAACTAGAGCTCTCTCGCAGAAACTATCGCGCACTGGCGCGCCTCGGACTTTAGCTGACGCGGGCCAATCAAAGGCGAACCCTATCTAATTCTTTCATGGAAGGTTTTTGGCGCCGCTCACTTGCCTTCTTCAACCTCTCACCTATCTTGCTGTGCACCGATCCGTTCGCGTCAGTCGGTTGACGTGCCAGGCCCATTCATGCATAGGCAGACAACGGAAAGACCTTTGTTAGGCAGATATGCGGAAAGGCAGGATTGCCAGCAGACAAGCAAGCAGCCAGGCCAGGGAGAAAGAAACATAGTTGGATGGATGGATGGATGAACGGATGAACGGATGGACGGACCGATCGATCTGAAGAGCGTCCGTACGCAGATGTGTAGAGAGGTAGGCATATCGGAGGGAGAGGGAGAGGGAGAGGGAGAGGGAGAGGGAGAGGGAGAGGGAGAGGGAGAGGGAGAGGGAGATACTGTACCAGTAGGCTGGTGCGGACCTCTCGGAAAATACGCCAAGTACAAGGGAGCTATGCTTTGTGCAGCCCAACCTAGTAGCTAGGGCACGTATACCTCCATATGACTAACTTCAAGCCCTATGGATCTTCAGGATCGCGACAGAGCCTTCTCATACGCATAAGCTCAAGGACAGAGATGCTACTGACACAGAATCAAGGATGTGGACCTTGGTAAGATGTGCGCTACGGATCTAGATATCATGTCAACATCCGGGTTTCAGGAACTGAGGTCGATTCAGCTTGATCAACAGTGTCAGCACTACTGATGCCATAATCTCGTTGCATCGTCATTGCTCGTCTTATGATGATACGCATGGGCATAGTAGTTCCCATTGTTGCGGAGGCCAGCGCTGCTGTTCTACCCTTGAGTTGCAAACTCCAAGCACGTCCAAGATCCCAAGCCCCGAACACCCCAAACCCCGGACCCCCAATCCCATACCCAAAACCCCCCCAAAACCCCCCCGAAAATCCAACCGTCCTAAACGCCTTGCCTAAACCGCTAGAACAACTCCTGCACCCCCTCCCCCCCCTCCCCTCAAAACACCCCTGAACCATAACCCCGACCCCTGAGTGCCCTCCTCTCTTTTCCCGGGCTGCCTCCTTGTGCCACGTTCAGCCACTCGCGGATCCCCAAGCGGCCCTGGAGCATGCCCTCGGCCTTCATCCCACTCTTCCTGGGCTGGGTTCTGGGTTTGCAGGGGGTAGGTATTAGGGTTCAGGGTTTATAAGGCTCAGGTTCAGGGTTATGGATGCTTTCAGGTATCGGACTGAGGGTTCGGGATTCCAAGGCCTTAGAGTTTTGCTAGGGCGAAAGATTGGGTTTACAGGGCAGGTGGTGCACTAGGCCTTTCTGCAAGCTTCTTGGGGGCTGTTGCTTGTGTCTGGCGCAAAGCTTCCACCCCTAAGCCCTACACCCACCTTACACCCGAACTCCTCAACCCCCAAACCCGAAAACCCCAACCCGATTTTTTCAGACCCTAAACCCAACATGACCGAAAACAGGAAACTCCAAAAAGACGCCCGCATACTTAAGAAATCCACCCTTTCAAGCCAAAGGACCCCTTAAATGAAGAAACCCTAACACACTTCAAACACCCTCCAAAACCCTACTGTATAACCAGTATGAACCCGATGAAAACCAAATCCTACAAACCTTCAAATACCTGCAAAATCAACGAAGGCCCCCCGTGTTAAGGAAAGGCAAGGGTCCCCGAGGCGTCAGTTGGCCTGAGCACCTGCGCATGGTCGGAGGGGCTTCTTAAGCTCAGGTTTTTGGCGTTTTATGAAGCCGTGACAGGGGTCTCATAAGGGGTGTGTTCCGGTTTCTTCAAAATGCCCGGGGGGGGGGGGGGAGGGGTGCCTCTTGTAACAAGGATCTGACTACTTTGGGCCTATATTCGGGTTCCAATTTCTCTTCTAAGGCTCTCACATTGAAACTTAACTACGGGGTCGTGGGCCGTGGGGTATGCTACAGATGCTACGAGGCATGTTGCAGAAAAGACACCTGTAAAAGCACATGTGTATATATGTATGGTCACCCCCCCCCATACGACAGACCCCGGAATTGTATTTCCAGTCTGTCCAGGAAGTGGGTGGAAGACCAACACTCCAAACTTCCTCGAGTTGCCAAAAATCCCAAAATCTAAAAAATCCAACCCAAGTTTCGGATTTTTGGAAACTCGAGCGGGAGCCTCAAAATTCCAAAAACCCAAAACTCCTCGAGTTTCCAAAAATCCAAAATTCCAAAAATTCCAACCCAAGTTTCGGCTTTTTGGAAACTCGAGCTGCAGCAACTAGTCTTTCCTGGGAAGGGCGACGGCAAAGCGCAGGGCTGAGCCTGGCCGAACAAGCTGTGGCTGCCACGGCTTTGGGGAGCTTGGACCGATCCCTTGCTTCAGGCCAGTCTGAACAAGATGACTGCGAAATTGTTTCGATGCCGCCTCTCCCTTCACGTACTCCACTGACCCCCTCCCAATTTCTTTCCTCTACTTTTCTCAACCCATCGGTGCTGTGCTATCTCAACTCCACCATAGTGGCTTTGATATGGACAGTTCTCCCCTCGTTGACCTGCACGCCAACGTCTAACCCCCATATGAGCGCTTTGCTCTCTGCAGTCGCAAACGCGGGCGGCACGCCTGTGCGCTTAGACCGCCTGCTGCGCGCGGCACTGCAAGGCTGGGAGTGTTTGTACCGGCAACATGACGTCTGCGAGTTCTTAGCTTTCATTGGCCCTAAACTGTGTCCCACACTGGCGCAAGGGCAGTGGCAGTGTAGACGCATGCGTGGTGACTACGTGCTTGTGACTGACAAGGGTACAACGGCGCAACCGCTGGCCCTGAATCCTCACAGCAAATGCACTCTAGATGCCATGTTGCATAGGTGGACCTCGCAAAGCGATCGCTGTGCGTTGGTCCGAGCCCCGCAGCTGCTTAGTGTTGCAGCTCCGAGATTTAGAAACGCGGCAGGTGGCTTTGGCAAGCATCGGGTCATGCTGCAGCTTCTGCAACCAGAGATTAACTTGCCTTTGTTCACGGGTCCCGGACTTAGAGTTGTTGGAGTCAACTATAGGCTCAGGGCTTGCATCTTCCACCGGGGTAACTCAGTTCACACGGGCCACTACCAGGTTCTCCTGGCGGATGCTCATGATCACTGGCACATCACAGATGATGGTTCCCCAGCTAAAAGCTGCACCTATGTGGAGGCGAACCACCTAGCTGGACCAGACGGGTATGTGCTTCTGTATGATAAAGTCTAGCTGTCTAGCTGCGTCCAGCTTCATACTGCCTGTTGCAGCACCCGTGTTCTCTAGCTTCATTGCGAGGGACGCAATGACCGGTTCTGCATGCCTCACTCTACTCTAGTCTTGCACAGTGGCTCACGCGTTTTCGCTGAGTGGCAAAAGATCGGGCGTTGCGAGCATTGAGAGCTGCCGCACTTGCTTTCCTAGCTCTGCCAACCTATGCCAAGTCCGTGATGACAGTAGCTAGCTCGATGCACTCCACTTTGCCATCAGGTCGGGATGCGCCAGATGTGGCTGCCATGTCTGGGTATTCCTCTGTCGGTGTTTGTACAGGTCTGAGATGGGCAGCATCGCTTTTATTTAGACTTTTCCGTCTAGAACAACCTCAAGGATTGTATAGTTGAGCGCCAGTCTTCGTAGCTGAGTCATCAGTGTTTTCTTATACCTATACTTTCTAGTGCCACTAGGCCATTCGTGGTAAGTACTGGTCTGTGTTGATGACTCCGATCCTACGGGTAGTTTCATCATGCTCCCTTGAAGGAGCCGTCAGCTTCTTGCTGATGTAACTGCGTACGCTTGTTAGCTGACTTGAGTTCGGGAGCTGACTGCGTGTGGAATGGAATGGAAAAGCCTCAAAATCCAAAAATCCAAAATTCCTCGAGTTTCCAAAAATCCAAAATTCCAAAAAATCCAACCCAAGTTTCGGGTTTTTGGAAACTCGAGCGGGAGCCTCAAAATCCAAAAATCCAAAATTCCTCGAGTTTCCAAAAATCCAAAATTCCAAAAAGTCCAACCCAAGTTTCGGATTTTTGGAAACTCGAGCGGGAGCCTCAAAGTCCAAAAACCCAAAACTCCTCGAGTTTCCAAAAATCCAAAAATCCAAAAATCCCAACCCAAGTTTCGGATTTTTGGAAACTCGAGCGGGAGCCTCAAAATCCAAAATTCGTGCTCCCGCTCGAGTTTCCAAAAATCCAAACCTTGGGGTGGATTTTTTGGATTTTTGGATTTTCGGAAACTCGAGCGGGAGCTCGATTCTTGGATTTTGAGGCTCCCGCTCGAGTTCGCAAAAATCCAAACCTTGGGGTGGGTTTTTTGGAATCCAAAATTCCTCGAGTTTCCGAAAATCCAAAAATCCAAAAATTCCAACCCAAGTTTCGGATTCTTGGAAACTCGAGCGGGAGCCTCAAAATCCAAAATTCGTGCTCCCGCTCGAGTTTCCAAAAACCCAAACCTTGGGGTGGATTTTTTGGACTTTTGGATTTTTGGAAACTCGAGGAGTTTTTGGTTTTTGGATTTTGAGGCTCCCGCTCGAGTTTCCAAAAATCCGAAACATGGGTTGGGTTTTTTGGGTTTTTGGATTTTTGGAAACTCGAGGAATTTTGGATTTTTGGATTTTGAGGCTCCCGCTCGAGTTTCCAACAATCCGAAACTTGGGTTGGGATTTTTGGAATTTTGGATTTTTGGAAACTCGAGGAATTTTGGGTTTTTGGATTTTGAGGCTCCCGCTCAAGTTTCCAAAAATCCGAAACTTGGGTTGGGTTTTTTGGATTTTTGGAAACTGGGGTTTTGATAAGGTTTTTTCTGGGGTTCTACACGGTTTAGGGTTTAGGGTTTAGGGGTTAGTGTTTGGGGTTTAGGGCTTAGGGTTTAGGGATTTTACTCAGATTCCTTCTCATGTTAACAGGACTCCTCTGAATTATAACCGGTTCTTTTCAATTCGTTAAGGGTTCCTATTCATTTTCATAGGCTTCCTATTTACTTTTATCGGTTCCGAATTTTTTGATAGCATTCCTGTGAATTATTTCATAGGATTCCAATAAAGTTTCATGGGGTTCCTAATTATTCTAATAAGGCTCCTACTAATGTAATAAGATTCCCATCAATTTTAGGGTTCTTATTCATGTTAATGGCATTCGCATAAATGTTAATAGAGGTCTCATTCGTTTGAAAGGAATTCGTTTGACAGGAATTCCTATTGGTTTAGGCTCATATTCATTTAGTACGGTTCCTATTAATTCTTGTTTTTTGCGAATCTTATTTTTTTATCCGATAAATTTCGGCAGGATTCCGAAAGATTCATTCCTGCTTATTTCATAGGATTCCAGTAAAGTTTCCTATGGTTCCTAATTATTTTGATAAAGCTCCTACTAATGCAGAAAGATTCATATCAATTTCAGAGCTCTTACTCATGTTCATTGGATTCGTATCAATTTTAAAAGGGATCTCATTCATTTGAAAGGGATTCCTATTGGTTTAGGCTCATATTGATTTTAGTAGGATTCCTATTAGTTAAGGGTTCACATTTTTATAGGAATCCCAATGATTCCTATTAATTTTAGTAGGGGTCCTTTTCAATTTATTAGGATTCCTATCAATTATAATAGGGCTCTCATTAACTTTAATCGGGTTCCTATTCATGCTCATAGGCTTCCTATTGTTTTTTATACAGTTCCGATTAATTTTACTAGGGTTCCTATGGATTTAAGTAGAGGATTCCTATTTGTGTTTGTAAGACTCCAATGAATTTTCATAGTTTGCCTATTTTTAATAAGGCTCCTACAAATGCAATATGATTCCTATCAACTTTAAATAGGGTTCTGTCATTTGAATAGGGTTTCCGTTGAATTCAAATAGTACTAAGGGTCTCATTCATTTTAAAGGGTTTCCTCTTCATTTAATAAGATTCCTATTATATTTACCAAAAGTATATATGCATATAAATATATTGCTTGTTAGCGTGTCTGGCTACTGTGTGCAGCTATGCTGTCCGTCGCACCCTCCGCCTTTTTGCCTTTTTTGCGATTCCGGGGTCTGTCGAAGGGGGGGGGGGGGGGGGTGGGCATATGTATATATACACACTTGGTAGCCCAGTGGCCATATTGCATTCTGGGCACCGTTTTTGGTGCAGGTTGCTTTTTGTTACAAGGGAAGCCAGACCTCAAAACGGGCAAGCTGCCAAGCACACATACAAATATATGGTAGCAAATATATGTATATATATATATATATATATTTTTATTTATATTCATATTTATATTCATATTTATATTTATATTTATAGTGTATATATATATATATATGGGTATATGGTATGAAGAACTCTTCAGGCTCCCCGAAAGTCTGACCCCCAGTGCCTAAATCTTGGACCCCATATTTTTTGGATGAGGCGCTTAGGACCCGTTTAGAATCTTTATTGGATATAGAACCCCACCCCCAGTCGAAACCCTGAACCTGTAACTCAAGAAAGCCCAATACAGCAGTCATGGTTTAGGGTTTTCGGGCTCCAGGTTATCTACCTTTTTGAGCTTCTGGGAACTCAAGAGTGTTTGGCGGGTTTAGCTCACTAAGGAGTTTAGGGCTCTCAGAACTTCGTGCTTGCCCTAGAATTTTGAAACCCCAAACCCATTTACAACTTAAGGGACTTTAGGGTTCAGGGTTTGCGCCTGCGGCCGACTCGTGCCGGCGCCCAGGTCTTTCTGCTCACAGGCTGGCTCACTCTCCAGTCCTGGCAGGGCGTCGGGTTTATGTAGGGTCAAGGGGCTTGAGGCTTGAAGGTTTTGGTTTGGGGGTTCGGGGCTTCTGGGTGTTGAGGTCGTCTTATGGAGAGACCCTATTATAGCCTTCTCCACAGCTAGCTCACAAAGTCTGCTGTTGCACAATTTCTGTTACTCAGCTCCGTGCCGGTACTGGCTCATGAGCCCTCCCTTGAGGAGCCATGCAAGTATTCAAGCATTTGGCAAGTGCTTCACAGGGTCTTATGATCTTTATGGGGGGCTTTATATGGTGTTTGTTGAGGCTTTCTATGGGTTGATTATGTTGTCAGGGGCGGTATTTATCTTTTCGATCGAAACATTCCGTGGCCCTTTTTTTGCACCCAACCACGGGGGCCAGACTCTGGAAGGCCTTGGAACTGTCGATCCTAAGCTATCTAAGCTTCCAGAGACCGGAGATCCTTTGCACCTGAACAATCCTGAACACCACTATTCTTAGTCTTTGTGATGTTGCTGTAGTAGCGGTTGCTACGTACGCTTCCTCTCCTTCTTTTTGTCTTATTCTGCTGCTGCTCAATTCTTACCCGTATCGTTGCGGGGCGTTCCGACAGTGAAGCGTCCTTGTTGCGGCACTGCAACTGAGCTGCTCGCGGCGCCGAGCTCCACGGCAGTCTCTTGGAAGCTACCTTGGCGAACTTGACGCCCTGCGTGCAGAATCAGAATCCTGTCTGCAGAGGAGCAAATTTGAAGCCTGGGTTGTAGCTTAAGGCCACAAGAAACGATTCGTGAAGAGGTCTAGGTACACCTGCCGATAGAACAAGGGAAGCTTGCAAGGTATCCCAGACTGCCACCTGGAAGCTGGTTCGTGGTCATTAAGATGGCCTTCCCCTGCGCACGCAATGCCAGAATGCAGCGGGAGAACACGCTTGCGCCAATGTGCGCATCCATTGCAGACAGTGGATCGTCTAAGACCACTACATCCGGGTCAGCATAGTACGCCCGTGCCAGGGCAATACGAGCCCTCTGGCCGCCGCTGATCGTGATGCCCTTCTCTCCAATCTCCGTGGCATCCCCTTCCACAAACTGGTCCAAGTCCTGCTCCAGGCAACATGCGGAGATTGCTTCTTCATACCGCTCCTGCACCAGGGGCAGGCCGAAGAGGATGTTGTCCCGCACGGAGGCATTGAGAACTTGCGGGTTCTGAGGTACATATGCCGGCTGACCCAGAATTCGGACCTCACCGGCTGCCACCCGCACCAAGCCGAAAATGCCGGAGACCAGTGTCGACTTCCCGGAAGCCACTGGGCCAACGGCCATCACCAGCTCTTTGGCACGTACTGTGAGGCTGATCTCTTGAAGATGTAACCTCTCGCCATTCCACGAGAAGCTGGCACGATCCAGTTGGATGCTGTGGATTCCCTTTTTATCACCCTCCGCGACGTCCGCAACAACCGCAGTGGAGGCCATCTCCTTGACCAGCAGCAAACGCTCCACCCGGACAATGCCCGCACTCATGGTCTGCAACTGCATACGGCAGGCCGGCCAGAGCATGAAACCAAAGGAAAGAGGGTCGAAGTAGGCCACTGTCATCGAAGCGATGTCGGCCTATGGGTTGCTCAATGTGTCATGTGAAGAGTTCGGGTCTTCTTTCTTTTGTGTTTAGGGCTGAAAGGGCTTTAGGGGGCTTTGGGTCTGGGGTTCCGAAAGGGACAGAGTCTTTAGGGTGTCACACATGTCGGGTGGCCTCTAAGGAACGGCCCAGAGCGACGTGGGTCAGCAGGGATGCCGTAATCCCAATCACTGGCAAAGCCTGCATGGCACCCTGCTGCAAGGCGTAGCACAAGTGAATCCACGACAGAAGCCGCACCTGGAGCAGCTCAGGGATGAGGGTTCAGGGTTCCTAACGCTCTTCCGACTGTAGACCAACGCATACTAACCAAACCCAAAAGGCCTAAAGAAGCCACGGGAGGGGTCGCGCCTCTTTATCTCGCACTCGTTTAATCTTGGCCTCCAGCGCACCCTCCCACGCGCAGTACTTGATCGATCGCGCACCTCACTTCCCAACAATCTCAATATAGAGTTTGGATTCAGGTTTCGAGGTTTGGGGCGGTTTTAGGGATCAGGCATGGGCTTAGGGTTTCAGAATAGCACATCAGATGATAAGAACCCAAGAAACTTCTTGAGTTTAAAGGTTGCGTATTGGAGACCTAAGGCACCTTGAAGAGTCTCATTCACGAGGACGAGCCGGGAGTCTGCCACCGCCAGCTTGGCTTTGACTTTCCGCTTGTAGGCGACCGCTGCCCAGCTACTCAATACTGATACAACTACACAGGACGTCAACCCCACGACAAAAGCTTCGCGAAGGTAATACAGAAGAATGGCTGATGGCACCAAGATGTTGCAGGGCATTGCCAAGAAGAGGCAAAGGAAAGGTCCCATGTACGGGAAGAGACTCGCATCCTGCCCAATCATGGATATGACCTGTCCTTCGCTGAATTGAGCTGTGAAGGCACCGGCATCGATGCTTGCCATCTTCGTGAATATATTGCCTACCAACGCAGCCCACATCTGCCTGCCCCAGTGAGAGAACGCATGGAAGCTATGTTGCTGAAAGAGCCCGCCCATCATGCCGGTGGCCGCGATAGCCGAAAGGTACCCAAATGCCTCAAGCCACAGCCCCAGTCGCAGGGAGTTCACAGTCTGGCGTAGAAGGAAGGGAGCAAGCAAGAAACAACATGAAGTGAGCAGAGCCCGCAACGCCTCAAGTAGGAATACCTTCTTCCAGCACTGGAAGAGTGCTCTGTGCAGTGAAGGTTTACGGCCCTGTCGGGCTCCCATGGCTAACTCCTGTGCCAAATGGCCAGAAAGTCTCTCAGCAGCCGATTCACAAGATTCGGCCTGTGGGAATGGCGGCAAAGACATCGCAGAGAAGTCCTGCCGCGAGATGTCCTGACAAGCCCTTCGGAAAAATGGCAGCGCCCATCCGAACCAAAGCCGTCGCAGTGGCCCAGCCAATTCCAAGGGGCTTTTTCTGCCATCTTCGGCAGCGTCCGACTTTGCCATGGGGCTGAGACAGGAAAGAAAGTCAAAATTTCCTGAGCCCCTCCTAGATCCTCCGACTTCCCAAAGGCGATCTAGAACGAGGAATCGAAGCAAGCAGAAAATTGCAGACAGCCTTGGAGTCGGCGTTTAGGGTGCACAGCTCAAAGGTTTAAGGCTCGAGGGCGGTGATTTGGATTAGGGTCTGGGCTCACAGAACTTGATTTAGAGAGCAGAGCCACCTAAACCTACGTAGCACACCAAGTACCTAAACCTCAGCTGCCCTGCGACTTGAGGCCACGACTTGAGCCCTGACACAGTGTGGCAACACAACGCTCCCTGGCATAGTTATGTGCTCAGCATGCGGGGGCGGTCGTGCTTAGAACCTTCTACCGGTACTACTCTGCATAACCTTTTTCGCATAGAGGTACCGAGTACATGGGTGAAGCCACATACAGAGTGTCTCGCGGCGGTGATGGCTATTTTTGACGGCGCCCCAACACATTGAAGGGGGTGAGTGGAGGGGGGGGAGGGGTGGGTCAAGCCTCAACTTGTAAACCTGAACGGATCTGAACGGGCTTTGGGTTTAAAGCTTAAAGCTGAAAGTTCATGGCTGGGAGCTTGTACAGTATCAACCTGCCCTTGTGTAGCCCTGAGATCTCGTGGTGAAGGTTCGACGTGGGGCTTGACCTGCGTTCAAGTTTCGAAGGCCTATAGGTCCATAAGGTATCACATGTATCAACTTAATTGGGTTTTGGGCTTGGTGGAGAATTGTGGATCCTTGTGCCACATTCTCGCATAAAAAAAAGCTGCTCGGCACATCTTCGGGTACAATGCTTAAGGATGCTGAAGGTTTTGCTGGCAAGGTGCTTGTTAAGGATGTTCAGCAGGGGGGGGGGGGGGGGGGGGGGAATCTTGAGGATCTACTTTTAGAGGATTACACTACCCTGCTTGTTGATTACGCACACGGGGGAAAGCTGCAAAGGGCCTGAACTGCACACTTTTTTGCAGAGCGCCTGCACTACCTCGTCACAGCACACCTCTACATTCTAGCCATCGCTGAATCATCACCCCAAGATACCCAAAGCAGAAACACGAAGTCTCTCAAGAGTCTGAAGAGCACTAAAGGTAGAACTCCCCTACTGTCCGCTGCGTTAGGATCTAGTAGGATATGGAAGCACTGGGCTGAGAGCCGCATCAGAGACTTACTCCTCGTCCTCGTCGTCATCGTCGTCGTCAAATTTCTGGCAGCACCGTGGTTTGGGAAGGGCCGGAAGGCCATAGAATGCTGAAATGCAATACAATGGGCCTTGCTCTTACCTTTGCTGCCTTTTCCTGGCATGCCCAATTCTCTCGAGACGCTCAAGCAGCAAGGAAGTGGAAATGGAGTCTTCACAAAAATGGAGTCACAATTGCAAGATTGCTGGCTCTTCGCATCGTGAACGGCTGTTCTCCAGTGTAGGGTCACAGTATGTCACAATGGCTTGCTTTCGAAGCAACTCAGCCAGCCAGCCCTGCACAACAAAACGCAATATTCTCTGCCCTCGCGACGTAGCGGGCAAGGCACGGAGCAGATATTTCAGCACAGAGAACTACTTATGAAGGACGCGAAGAATGTAACGAATGTGAAGACTGCAGTTCCAAAGTAATTCACCTGAAGTGGCTGCGCACCTTTGCCATTCTTTCCATCCTTGCTCTTGCCCTTTCCCTTGCCATCCTTTCCATCTTTCCCTGAGGGCACATGGGGTTCGGCAAATGCTTCAAAGCCTCAGAATGTCCAACGCTCTCCTTATCTCTCCTTTACGCAAGCCTTTCTTGCCCTTCTTTCCCTTTCCATCCTTTCCTTTGTCTTTGCCCTTGCCTTTGCCCTTGCCTTTGCCTTCAGTCTGACATTGTGCTCTGACAAATCAGCGGCTATGCGCACAATGATCCTCCACAAATCAGCGGCTATGCGCACAGCGATCCTCCATCCTTTCCTTTGCCCTGGCCCTTCTCCTTGCCTTTGCCCTTGTCCGTCGCAATGTTGACCTGATGTCACCCTATGAGTCGTGCTGTTTCGCTGTGGACTTTTGAGCGTGCCTTGAGAGTATTTCCACCATATTCGTCGCCGTCGAACTCCAAGGCCTCTCAATGAGCACGGTAGCAAACTTAAGTTGTGAACACTGAACGCACAACGAAGTCGCAAATGCCCAAACCCCAAACCCTAAACCCTGCGACGGTGCTTTGCGCCTTGTTGGCGCCAGCCTTCGTCTTGAAGGTAATGAAAGCCACTTTTGCTGGCAGTGCAATGTCCTAGCGGACCCAATGCAGCACTCATTACAAACCCCCCCCCCATGCAAACGTTGCGTCGCTATAATATGTCACTCAGCATGTGCAAACCCAATGTCATCCAATGGCCACCTCAATCTCGCCGCATTCTTCGAAATCTTTCCGCAGCTGCTTGTCGGAGACGTTCCACGGAATGCCGCCCACAAAGACTTTGGTCACAGCTCCTTTTTGTTGAGCAGAGATGCGCAAGCATGTGTAAAGTCTGTAAAGTCATGCGCAAACTCGTTCAGCTGCCGCTGATGCAGCACACATGACCGGGCCTTCACCTTCCTGGTCGACGCGCTTCTTTTTGAGCGGTGGTTCCTCCTCATCGTCCTCTTCCTCTTCTTCCTCTCCGTCATCTTCATCATCTTCATCATCTTCATCAGGGACTTGCTTAGAAGGCGTGGTTGTAGCTTTTTGAACTCCTTTGGTCGATTTGGCGATCGCCTTGGGCGCTGGCTCTTCCTCCTCGTCGTCATCGTCATCGTCGTCATCGTCGTCATCGTCCTCCTCCAGGGCCTTTTTCGCAGCGGCCTTTCCCTTGCCTTTCACGGCTTTTGGGGCGGCTTTTGGAGGCGGTTCGTCGTCGTCCTCGTCGTCATCGTCGCTATCAACAGCTGACTTGGCTGCAACGACCGCCGTCTTAGTCTTTGTGTTAGCCCTTGGCTTGCCTTTGGTCGGCGGCTGATCTTCGACCTCATCGTCATCGTCATCGTCATCAGCTGCTTTGCTGGCCTTCTTCTTTTCTTGTGGCTTGATTGCCTTCTTGGCACCTTTCTTCTTCTTGAGGACCTTCGGCATTACACTTGCTGCAGCTCCTTAGGTGTGCCGGGAGCCATGAGATAATTGTTAGCCTTCTCTCCCTTTTGGGCCAGGCCAAACAGCTGGAGCCCGTGGCAAAAGCGGGGTCGTAGCTCGGTGTAGCTCCGTGAAGGTTTTGCAGTCATATTTAATGCTCACGCCCTCTTATGCTGGACCCACGGCCACAAGCGCACGGTCGCTTGTTTTCCTTCGCTTGTCTTTGAGCTCTCTCTGAGCTGAGTGAAGGAAACACGGTGACCTGAGGACATGACCAGGGGATCCACAGATCCTGCTTGCAGCGATCCTTACAGTACAGGGTGCGGCGCAGCCACCACGCAGCAGAGGTTGTCCACCTCACTTGATACCTGTGAGGTCCTGTGAGGTCATCATTGTTTCTCGAACCCTGATACAACAGATACGCCGAAAAAGGCCGACTCCAAGATGGGCGCGATTGCGTATGCCGAAGCGGCAAAGTACAGATTCCAAAGCTGTGCCTCAGCCAAGGCTGCGATCCCACAGAGCCACCTGAGCAGTGGGTTAAAGTTGGGCTCACGCGGCTTCGGCTGAAGCGGTTGGAAGAACGACCCAGGGATACCCAGGCGCCCCGGCAGCAAACTCCACACCGCCGAAGGTAGCGGCATTGAAGACAAAGGCACGTTGCATTGCTGCGCCTTCTGAGATCGCTTAAAGGATGCTCTAAAAGGATGCTTAAAAGGAGTATAAAAAGGAGTCGGGGGAGTCACAGGCGGCTGTCATCTGACTCATCTGACCCTGAGGCGTCGGCCGAAGCCGCGCAGGAAAAAGGCAGGGCCCTCGCGTGCGAGGCCTTGCCAGCTTCGCAGTGGAGTCCCAGTGACTCAAACTTCAGGCATGGGCTTGTTCTGGCAGATTTGGTCGGTATTCTCACAGTTTTCTCGCACAAGCAATGACCATCAAATGAAAAAGTGCCGGCTGATGCCAGCTCAGCCTTGTGCAACGGTCTGGCGCACAGACCGCTCTGAGGCTGTGGCCTCACCGAACAGCTGAAGAGCTGGAGCAAAATGAGTCTCTCTTCGGAAGGTGATGGAAGCCGTTAAGATGTTTTAAGTGCACTCGACTGTGCACTCCACAACGGCTTTGCAAAAAAAGTGTGACAACATGCGCGAACATAAGATGTGCAACTCATGAGACTCTTATGCTTCAACATCCGGCTGGCCAGCATGAAGACAGCTCAGACAGCTCAGCTCATGGAGGCGCTGCCTCGAGCGGAAGGCTCTGGATGCGGGACTTCACAACATCCACAGGATGGATCATGCCTGGCACGGGGGCAAGTCCCCAAAGGGAAAAAGAAAACTCACAAAGCCCGACTGGCTTCAGCGCACCCAGTGCGAAGCAGCCCGCGAAGCCACCCGACACGAGCGTGGACAGCACCACCTGTGACCATTCTTTTACATACAATACATATATATATGTATATATATATATTCATTGATTTCTTCATATGTGTACAAAGAGAGAGGTGTGCCCGAAGGAAATGCCTTCTTTGAGGCTCTTTGAGGCAAGGGCGGGGACATGGTTAAGGTCCATATGGCGCCGGGACTCCTCGTAGACTAAGAAGTATACGCCATACCTCAGAATCACGTGGCAAGGCCAGAAGGGAGCCACCAAAAGTCGCCGAGCAGCGTGCGATGGGCACTCCTTCACTGCCGTGGCGCCCAGGCCTCCAAATTTCGGGTGCCTCTACGTTCCTCCATCTCTGCCCCACTTTACCACCAGAATGTTGGCTACTGCAGTTAGTACAGCCTTGCAGGCAGCCATGGCGTAGGCCCAGCATCTTGACGCGCTCCCGCAGGATGCGCCACTCGGGCAACAAAGCAATGCCCCACAATGCCACACCGTACCACGCACGCAACGTACTGAGTTGCAAAGAAAAAGAGCGAGAACGAGCGAGAGGGACAGAGAGATGCGTATCATATACATGAATGTATGTTGTACTTGTATGTCAATTATCTGTATGTATATGAATGCATGCATGATCTAATGTATACAAATCAGCACTAAAGTCTCCATTTACATGTGCATTCATACTTTATGTATGTACTGTACTTGCACTTTCATGTACAGCCATGTCATGTCTGTATCTGTATCAATATGTACATATGTATGTCGCATGTACCGTTTGAGTTGTATTTACACCTTTATGCATATTTCAACATGTGTTTGTACAAGCTGAAACATGCAAATGACATGAACTACGCAGTAACTACGCAAGGTTGCAGCATACTGAATGGATGCAAACTTCAAGTGACTCGGGGCCCTCGCGGGGCCAGGGCTCCAGTTCTGTGGCCCGGAGGTGGAAGGCGTGAACTGCACCTGCCGCTGCGTCTTCACCAAATCCACCTCAGAAATCCAATCCACCGAGACAGTCGGTGCAAACAGTCTTACGCCAGTGCCACAGTGTCCCACAATCCCTCAACCCTGCCTGGTTTCAACACTTGTAGTGTTTGTTTGTCAACACGGATGGGCGTAGTGGCGAGATGTGGCGAGCTTTCTTTGCCGTGTGCCTGGAGCTTAAAGCTGGCACGGGTGACGGTGTTCGATGGTCGAGTGACCACACTTGGCGGGCACACAGGCGACTGCCCCCGCCCCACAGCCAAGCTGCCTTTGGCGCAAACGACTCAGCCCTGCTGAGAATCAGACTAGGCACACGAGGGGACTCTGGGCCTCAGCACAAACTCGCATCCACTTTGAGAGAAAGTTGTACGAGAGTGGGAACGACCGGAAAGACAGGCAAAAGGCCAAAGAGAGAAAGAGAGAGAGAGAGAGAGAGAGAGAGCGAGAGCGAGAGCAGGAGGAGGAGGAGGACGAGGGAGAGGGATCGTGCAGAGCAGACATCCAAAGTTCCTTTCGCAACACATTATCGCTTCTTCCTGGTCCTAAACACAGGACATCCAGAGTAGGAGAGGGAGACGAGGGCAGCGCGAGCGACGAGAGTGGAACAGGACTCTTGCAGCACTACCTGCAATCACCGTGATCCTGCGGCCTCAGAGTGTTTGATAGCGTTTGAAGTTCGGACTCCAGGCGGCGTGCCAGCCCAGCCAGGCAGCCAGCCAGAAAGCCCGTGAGCTGGGGCCGGTCCCTGCGAAGATGCAACAACCAGGATGCAAAGACGAGCCCTGACATGGTCCGAATGGTTTCCGGAGGGTCCGGCTCTCCCATTCCGGTTTTGTCACTGGCATAAGTCGACTGCCGAAGCTGGAGCAGCCAGGCCTGCCCAGGGCATCCTGGCATGGATTGGGAAATATCGTGAATTTTGGTTCTCTGCCTGCCTGGCTCTCCCCTATCGCTTCACTCTGCGCAACCCCCGAAAGTACAATGGTTCGATGAGTCGTGATGTTCTGAGATTCTGAGTAGAAAGCTCGTGTCGTACGTACGGCAGTATGTTGTAGTCAGAACTTGAGAGCCGTCATTGGCTTCGAGTGGGGCCTGATCGATCCTGAACTTAGCTACGGCCCGCCGTGCCTCTGCTCGGTGGATAAACGTCTATCACTATGCCGCAAGCAGTTGATCGAGGGACTGTCTCGCTCCGGTCGCTCCTGCAGCAGGCGCTCCGAGACACCCTGGGCACAGAAGACCACGGCGTTCAGCAGCGCCCTCGGAGAGATCGTTTGTGTACTTTCCAGGTGGTATAAAGACAAAGACATTGCAGAATGAACCCGAATCACTGTGAGACAATGTGTCAGTTGGTACACGTTGTCTTTCCGTCTCTGGGGTTCCCGGGCGTGCTGTAAAAAGGCACAGACATGCCCCGGTAGAGAGCCCGGAAGCCTTCCAGCCGCGCCGTCTCTGTCAACCTTGTGCAAAAGTTTGGCAAGTGACGCCTTTCAGTCTCTACTGAATGGACTGGTGTCGCACAGCCAGAAGAACTGTGAAGTGTAGCGTAGGCATGGATCAAAACAGAATAAATATCACATTACAAAGGGAGACAGTACAGGGAGGATGAAGAAGGCACATTGGAGGGACGCTTGGCACACAGAACTGCACAGATCCAGCTCTCATCCTTTGCCAGGAGCGCGGCACTCGTGCGGTGCTGTACTGGTCGAAGCGGGCCATGGCTTGGATTCGGGTTTTGGCCTTGCAAAGCAAAGCGCATCAAAGCGCCCAAGAGTAAGGATGGTTGGGGCTTTCTTGATCCCCGGGGTCGGAACTCCTGATCGACATCTAGCACTAATCTAGCACTCTAGCACCCTTAAGGACTGTGGACCGCCCCTCTCCTCGCACGACCTCCCTAAAACTTGTCAGGAACTTTCGGTTGCAAAAGCAACCTCCGGCGAGGCAGGCCGTGTAGCACTGACATTAAAGAATTATGATATCAGTGATCGTCGGGCTTTCTGCAACTTTTACTTGCGACATTTTGCGACCCTAAGGCAGACACTGTGTCCAGCGGATGGCCCGCCAGGATGGCCATCATCCCCCCGACCTCGATTCGACTTCGATCTGAGAACGCCTGCATAGCAAATATTAGCAAAACTACTCAACTTTCTCAATCTTCCTGTTCACTTTGGTATGGTGTTGATGTTTATGACGATTATGTTGTGAAAGTTTGTGGCGAGCCGCTGTGCCACCGAAGAAGTCCCGCGCCGCTGCCGAAAGCTCTGCCGAAACCGCATCGGAGGTCCGAGCAGCGGCGCCTTCGCCTGGGCCGCCGGGGCCGCCGGGGTCGCCCGTAGCCTCAAGACTCAAGCAAATCGAAACAGCGAAAGAAAACTGTAACCAGAGAACTGAGCCAGACGGTGCTCACAGGGTCCAAAGGGTTTCTTTCGGAGGTGTTGGCTCCGGTGAGTGGCGCAGGCGCGCAACTGCAGCAAAGGGGAAGTGCTGGGAAGTGCTGCTACACTGATATAAGTGTGCTTCTGCGCTTCAACCTAACGAATGTCCAAGCAATGTCAGGGTCCTCTGTTTGGATTGCTCGGATGCTTAAGGAACTCTTGGGGTACCCGTTAGGGACTCTTAGGAACGCAAAGAAAATGCTATGGGCTGAGAAAAGTATTGATTCGCCAGGTGGATCCGGCGAACTCAGGATGGAACCATTTTTGGAGGCTGCCCGGGGAGCCTCTTTTGACTCTACCTGCACTTGAGCCACCCGAAGGCCCGCATCGACGCCAGATGTCCAAAGGGACCGGGAAGGCAGAAGCCTGCTTTTCGTTTGCCACATGGATCGTGCCTAGCCAGCATCTTGATCGCAACGTGTATCATTCCTCCCAGTCTGAAATTCTGAAAGTCCTGTGAAAGGCCCGTGTGCATGCTCCAACCACGAGTTGCGCAACATGCTTAACACCTAAGCTTTGCAAAAGTCTCGAACCTCAGCAGCTAGAGCAGCTGAAGTACGAACTCTAGCGAGTCTAGTGACAGCTCTCGAACGAAGCCAAACTCTGAGCCGACGGACCTGACCCAGCTTTTTCCGAACCGTGCAAGAGCTCGGGTTCGACTGCTTTGTGCAGAGTTTGAGACAAATAGGACCTGCCGGCAAATGCTTATGTCATGCCCAAGTCTTTTCCCCCAATGACCGCTGGAAAAAGGGAGGAGACACCTAGAAGAGAACCAATAGCAAACAAAAACCAAACCGAGTGCTGATCTTCTCGAAGCTTGTGTCCGGCCATCCACACCAGCCCACACCCAAAAGACACCCGCTTGCTGGCCATGACGGGCCACGAAGCCCAATCAATTTCCTAACCCGAGATCCTCGGCATGCTTCCTGTTAGTGTCAGGGTTGAAGCAGGCTGCAATTACTGTAATCCGATGTTATGGCGGATGCGCGTAAGCTCCACGTAACCTTCGTGTAGGGCGAGCCTTCGTTGGCGGCGGAACCTAGTAAACAATTGTCTTGTCGGAGTTTGCGAGAACTCTCCACCCTCGGTGACAAAACTAAAACCGATGCGACCAATGAGGGTCACTGCACCGACCATTGATCTTCGATTCCGGAACATGCGTTTCATGTGTATGGAGTCTATGGTTTTGAGATCTATAGGGATGTATCCGAGCCTTTCTCCGCGCACTGACGGGCTGCGGTTGCCAAATGAGCCAGAGGGCCAAGTGATTCCGAAGCCTGTTCGTGATACAAATCTCAGTTGCCATCCTGGCCAGGCAAAACCCATCTAGCTACACTCACAGGCTCTGAGGCATCCAAATAGCCACAAGCAGAACAAACAATTTAGCATCTTGCTCAGTCCTTAGAAGGCTGTGAAACCCCATTGAGAAGCAGCAGTTTTGTATTTTCAGTCAATGGACGTCCAGGAAACCCATTTAACCAATTTTTGTCGGGGTTTCGGGTATGTGTGTGAGTAATGTGAAGCACCAGTGAATGGCTTCAGAAGCATTCCCAATGACTGCAAGGACTTGAGCAAACTGGGCACGACTTAAGCAGGTTTCTGTACATGGAATTTGGCATACTGTATGAATGCTTTGTCAACGTCATAACCTTGAGATAGCCTGAGTCTCGGATGGACAAAGTGTCTTACATGTCTCACATTTTCTGGATGCTCAGATTGAACTTCTGGTACTCCACACAGTGCCAGGCACGCAGGCCTTAGCTGCTAAAGCTTCCTGTGAAAAGTTGACAGGTTGAACAGTCTACTGCAAACAGTGTGCACTGGACCAATCCCAAGGAGTGGCATGCACAAGCAATCACACACCACTCGAAGACCTAAGACTAGCAGGGTCTGTCTAGGAGAGCTCGAGGCCCTGGCCGGAATCAGCGGCACCACATGGACAAACCTCCCTCCCAAAGCTCCACCTGACATGCACAGATCTTGTGACACAATTGAGCCCTTATCTGTCTTCCTTTTTTTGATCTTCCGTTTTGCCTGTGTTCATGCCTTGGCATAACAGTGTCTCTCTGCTCTGCACCAATCTCAAGCCGGTCCCACCACAAGCGCCAGCCGCCTTCCGGATGTCCTCGGCGCAGCCCACAGGAAAAGCTACTGCCCCACAAGACATTGAAGGCATTCGAGCACTACCCCAGGTGACCGGCACGGGTGCGATGCTGTGATACTTGTGCGAGACAAAGCAAATCCTGGATGGGACGTGGCATGGGGGTTCTGGAAGGAGGCATGAGGCAAGCCTGAGGATCGCGCACGTCTCCCTTGGACAACTCGTGCCTCGAGGTACGATTGTGCGATAGCCAGGAGACTTCGCGTTGGTGCGCTCAGGATCAGCAAGGCTGAAGCTGCAAATTAGAATCGTGTCGGACAAAGGCAGGCATCGACATGCCTAACGTGACGCCGGCAACGGTCCGATTAGGTCCCATGACCCACTTCCAAACATCACTGTGCCAATTCAGCATATCTCGCTCGAGCGTAAGGGTCCCTAATGCTGCACGAACTTCAAAAAGAGCAGCTGCTCCTCAACTCAATGACCGGGCTTTGTAAGCCCGATATGAACTCACGGATCTTGGATGGTCAAGCCCTGCATCTTGCTAGTCTCGCAATGAATGCGTTGGAAGCCTAAGCCTGCTGCTGGTAGAACTATGCTTGTGCGCCATATTCAAGGCCCCCATTCCAGTCTGGAATTCTGCTCACTGCTAATGCCACTACTGATTCCTGAAAGTACAAATCTGACGGCACACGATGCGGATAAACGGCTCTCCGTGCCCAGGATCGGGAATCAAGTTGAGACGCAGCTAGTGATTCTAGCTTGCGCCATGCATCAGGTGAATGGAAACTGAGGATCGATCAAAATAATTTCAGAACAAGCGCGAAGCTGCAAGCTTAACGAAAGCCACGAAACAAAAACATGGATCCACTGAGTTTCGATCCGCCCTTGCGGGGCGGAATTCCGGAATCGTAAGAAGGCTGGAGGAAGGCTTGTGAAGAATTACTGCCGAGGCCCTCCCCGAGACTTTTGACCCTTTTGACAGGTCCGTCACTGGTACCTCTCAGCTGTGATCGCCAGACTCAAATTTTTGGACCCCCGCTTCCATCAGGTCTTTGTTCCGCATCCTAATCATCCTATCTGAACGTACAGTTAAGCCTTCGACTGCGCAGTCCGCGAATGCGTTTTATATCGTATGTGGCTTCCACTGCTTTAACACGAACTGCAAGTACATATAGTGGTCACACCAATACATGCACGCACAGACCACAAAACCGAAACACCCAGACAGGTCATCAAAAATGAATAGTCCTACTCATGCTGGTCAAACTATGTCAAACTATCATGTTCTTGTTTTGAATAGCCGGCGCCATCTCAGCACATGGTGCCGAGTCCCGTGAGGGGTACCCTCCACCTCACCCGACCAAACCCGAAATAAACCCCACGGCAAACCCTGAAACCTATTCTTGCCCGAGCCAAAAGAGGATCCCCAGATGATGATGTGACCCTTGATTCTGTCGATTTCTTTGGTTGGACAAGATGCTTGCGTTCTGACTGCTCAGGCTTGACTCACTTCTGCAACCCAGTCAAGCAGGTGGGATTTCGTGCAGCTTGGCATTAACATGGCCATTTCGTCTGATTTCGGTGTACTCAACACTATTGAGCACTTCTTTTGCAGAAAGCAATGGAGTGAAAAACACCTGCCCTTGTGGGATCGTGATGGTTTATGCGTTGCTTGTACAATGACATGCAACAAGACTTCACATCTCTAATCCCTCTTCCATTGTTGGCTTCGTCATGCCCGGGCACAACGGACACTGTTTTTGAGGCTTTGGCGTCTGGCAACGCCCATCAGCTTCTTTCGTTTGGAACATGCCACCTTGACAATCCGCAGGCTACCCACAGCTCATAACAGGAGTTGCGAAATGGCTCATGCTTGACGTTTGGCATGAAGTTGCCTGTGAAATCCTCATTCACCAAGCACACGATGGTGACCTGAGCCGGATGGTTTCTTCTTCTCAGCGTTCCGAGGCGCTCTACTGTGTGCCAGGGCGATGCTCCCGGCGTCGAAGTGGTAGTCGTCGACAAGGCCTGACAGTTAGGGACAAAGGTTGGCATGGAACAAGAGAGGGATGGAGGGATGAGGATGGATGAGGAACCTCCTCCAGGTTCGTATTCCCAAAGCTCTACCTGTGTGGATTTTCGATAAAATGTTGAGCATGGCGGGCCAGAATCAAGATGCCGGTTCAAATCCATGTCCCAAGTTCTCGCGAATCTGCTGGGGGCCCTGCCACACGGATCCTCGGGATTGTCAAGTTCACAGCTAGACCCAGTTCTTGATTCCCCTACCTGCAAGCAACCCCAATATCACTCGCGTTTATTCCCACACTTGGTGTGGGGTTGCTAGACTTTAAGTCAGCCATGCTCTTCGCCTGGGCTTCCTGTGTTTAAGCCCGACCTGGCGCGAGTCTCCTGCTCCACAGAATATCCTGCAGAGGAACTGGCTACCGAGAACCCACTTCTTGAGGATTCCGCAGAGTGTTTCTGTGGAGTGCCCTACATCCCAACAGTGCTCACCAAAGAGCTCTGCAGAGAATCACCCCAAGATAAGCGCCAATTAGATTCAGCAGGTGGGCGTGTTCCAAGAAATACTGCAAAGATGCGATGCGCCATCTTTGTTTGCGCCACGGACCAAAAAGGACGGAATGAAGCCGAAATCGGAACTGTTGTTGGTTTTGCCCTAGGCTGGCTCCCTGGTAGCTGTGGCCCAAGTATATCTTGCCTAGCTTCTTCTTCCTCCTGTTCTGACTTTTCTTGTTCCGATTCGAGTTCGTTAGGACCCGTCCCTTTCGCCTCCCCATCTGTTTGAGGCTGTGCCCCAGGCGAGCAGCGCCGGACGTCGATGCCCGATAGGGGGCCATCCTTCCGCGAAGAAACTGCACGCGGCGTGAAGAGTGAAGAGTGAAAGACGGATACTCGTCGGCTTGAAGCACTATCCCTATCATCACCCATTGACTCCGCCGCAACATACCTGCTCATTTACTTGCTGGTTTCGTGGCGGCCTCGGCGCGATCGTTGCTGCCCCATTGCCCTTTCTCCTGGTGCAGCTTGCCCAGACGCGCAGCACAGGACACGGAACACAAACTCTCATCGGCCAATGGGACCCCGATCTTCAGCAACTCGCATGCACACATGCTCGCATGATGTGATCCTTTACGAGCTTCCTGCAGTGGACAGCAGACGACAGGAGGGTTTTATCTGAGACACCGGCTCATAAACGCATTGCCTCCTATAACATAGCTATGGAGATGTAGGGAGCGTAGGGCTGGGAGGCTGCTGTCTCAAGCCTGGGGTCTGAGGCCTAAAGCCCGCCAGGCCGGGTCTCAGCCCTTGGGGAATGGGAAGGGGGCGTAGGAAACACACACAAGTCAGGCGTTACGCCGTTTACGCCCCAATCTGGGGGAGACTTTCCAGGAGGAGCCACCATCAAGTAGGAGCACCAGTTGGTCATTCGCTGTTTGCGTTGATATTGCGATGGAGAGCGTTGTCTGTGGAGGAACGCAGGTCCGATTCACTACATTCTCCCAAAGCCCTCAAACATTCATATATGTAATAAACTGCATGTACACATACATATGTTAAGCATACGCAAACATGGACGTTAATGGGCAAACGGACCCTAAACAAGGCGCCGCGGACCCGCAACCTGGTCCTTGAGCCATGACAAACCTCCTAAAATCGTCTTGCCCATCTCTAAGGCTCTAAGGAGCACACCAGAGTTTGAACATACAATACCTTTTTTTATTCAACCAATGCGGTTGAGAGTGAGAGATGAGAACGAGGGTGAGATGAGGGGGAGCCGTGAGAGCGCCGATAATTGCATCTCTCTCATCTCATCTCCCGCGCAGCGCAGAAACCGAATCACGTGGGGGCCTACCCTACGATTCGCCTACTGATTGAACTCGAAACCCTTGACCCTACAACTTAAACTCTTCGACCCCAGGCCCAAACCTCTCAGCCCGAGACCCTACAAGCCAAACTCGTCAACCCTAAGCACCCTCAGCCCCGAAAGCTGTAACCTCTGATCTCTAGACTCCAACATGTGATCCATAAAGCGTGCGTGCGCGTTGCCAGGAAGAGTAGTCGACTCGACGTGTCTCCTGCGCCGCAACTGCAGCCCTGAGCATCTTGGCCAGCACACGGGGGGCCTGGCCTCGGGGAAGAGTCTTCGAAAACTCCCCTGCCATGTATGGACACAGGGGCCTGTCGCTTTGCAAAAACTTGCAAATGACAGAGTCACGATGTTTGGAGATTTCTTACAGCCACAACATCTCAAGGCCCAAGGCGGTGGCCGAGCAGTTGGCCCGTTCGAGGCACATCCTGGCCTCGGGACATGGGCAGATGCTGCCTTCGTGGAGGGCTCGGCACATCTTTGCTTCGAATCGTTTGCTGTTTGCCCTAAGACCTCCATGACCTCACCTGCCCGCAAGGACAGCCAGGGAAAAATGCATCTTCTCTCGCTCTCTGTCTGTGGGCCCTCGGGCCATGCAGGAAAAGACAACGTTTCCTGGCACAGAGCGAAACTGAAAAGACTCCATTCCTTGCGGTTTTCAGACATGTTCACCCTGCTTCTTGGCCTCTGGTGCTGTCGGTTCTGTGGATTGGTCACCGCCTCAGAGCACACGCGCCGGTCCTTTTAATTCAAACTAGACTAGTTGTCAGAAAACTCCAACAGCATTGCGCAACCTCAAGGACTGCGCCGGGTCGCCAGAGTCCAGGACCGCGCGGTGGCAGCGCAGGACCTCCAGCTAAGCGGTTACACAATGGACAGTATACTGTTGGTGTGAGCGATGCAGCAGCAAGTGTTCGATAAGAAACATACAGTGGCAAGCATGCAATGCAAGGCTCCGAAACAGAGCGTGGCGTTTTTGGCACATTGTGCGGCAAAGAAAGAATAAACACTCAACAACAAACGTCGAAACGCTTCTCCGTGGTGCTCGAAAGAGATTCCGCCTGCTCCAGGTCATCCTCTGATAGCAGCCGCGGGAACTTCACCTCGTTTCAGGAGCTTCAAAACAACTTCAATCGCCGCACTCTTCCTCTTTCGCGTATTCTGAGCTTGGGCTCCGTGCTACTTGGGTGCGCTGGGCCTGCCGAAGGCCAAGAGTTGAAATTTCCCTTCCTGCTCCTCTACTACGCTAAAATTAAATACCTCATACTCTTCGACTCTCGTCTTGCCTGCCTGTCTCATCTCACTTTTGGGTTTGCTTAGTGTGCTTCTCCGACAGATTTTGGAGCCTTCAGAAGGTCCACATAGTGCCGCACCACCTGCTCACGGAGCACTGCCTCGAGAGAAAGGGGGACGGTCGGCATTAGAGCAAGCACCGACTCCATACGATGTTTTAGAATACACGGTTGCTCGCCGTGTTCTGCTGTGACACCTTCTTGTTGCAGCATGGCTGCAAGTAATCAGTAATCACTCAGTACTCATTTATCACACCACCCGCAGCTGGAACTCGTGCAAGATTTCGTTCATCAGTCAGAACAGTTTATATTTCATACAGTATGTTTTAGTAAACGAAATTCCTTCACATCAAGATCTGGCAAAGCCACAGCCAGGCCTCCCGGCGAGGTGCCCCGAGTGGCTTTGCTTGCTCCCCAGGCGGGGAAGTGCAAGAAGTGCCCGCAGAAAGCCCCGCGCGGTGCTCCACAGAGCCGTGGGCTGAAAGCTCCGAAAGCCCCGCTTCAGTGAGCTTTGGCCTCTTAGCCTTCGGCTCGGGGGCTTCCTCGGGTTCGAGTACTTCAGCGGCCATGGCACAGCATGTCACGCCCGACTTCAATTATGCTATATTCTGCTATGACGGCTGCTTGACCTATGCTCAACGGTTGCGCCGGCAGCAAGTAGCCTGCCATTCCTGATCTACTACTGTGCTACGGCTAGCAGCTAGCAGTATGTGGTTCAACCGTCGCATTCAAGCAATGTCTCCTTATTGTATCTTCCTACCCTGCGGACATGCATCCTGGATGGGGATGCAAACTGATGTGCACTTGAACTCAGCTGAAGGTACTTCATGAAGGCTTATTGTGACTCCCGGATCCAACCTTGAGCCTGTGGCCACTCAGTGCCGAAATGGTTGCAAAGGACTTGGCTGTATCGAGGCCTAGACATGTCGAGCGACTCATCCATTTCTTTCTCTGGTGAAACGCCAACATCGCCAAGTCTCTTGGAGAGCATGGCATGAGAGCTCCATTCGGCTCTCACTTCCTTGTGTGGTGCCGGAATGTGCTGGATGCTGGGAAGCTAAGGACTCGCACAGAGGCTTCCCCCCAATCTTGTCCCGCTGGGGTGTGGACTTGCCCTTCTTCTTCTTGGCCGGACCCTTCTTGTTGCTCCACTTCTCGCCGTTCCACCTCAGACAGCTCTGCAAGAACGTTTGCTGCTCTTGAACGGAGAGCTCAAGCTCAGTCAAAAAGGACTGTCGCTGATGGCGACAGACGCCAGGACCAGGGGCAGCTGCCCCACCCCCCCCACCTTCCCCCCCCCTCCACCTTCCCCCCCCCCCCCCCCACCTTCCCTCCCCCCCCCCCCCCCCCCCCCCCCCCCCCCCCCCCCCCCCCCCTTTTGCTTGAGGGGCCCGCAGCTCGCCTGGTGTGAGCATTATGTTGCGAATGCTGTCCAAGCCGAACCGTCTAAACCCTGAACCTTGAACCTTGAGCCTTCCCAAAAACCCTATTGCTTGGGGTCCGGCGACTTGGGCGCTGCGGAGCACCATGCTCACGCGGATGCGCTGGGCCGGGCCGAGGCGGCTCGCGTAGCGTCAACATTAGCAAGGTTGTTGAAAGCTGCGCTGGTTGACTTTGACATTGAAAACATAGACTGAGTCGTGTGCAAGTCCGGTCTTTAAAGAAATCGTTAATCGAGATATTGTTCGTGCAATCAATGGGCTTCGCCGGGGCATTTGGCATGAATTCACCGCAACAATCACAATGGATGATGTCGTCAGGACATGCAGTGATACGGTGAAGGGTCCAAGGATGTGGATTTGGGCTTACCGGCGACAGCGGCGTCGTCGACCAAGGAGTAGCACCACATTCGGAGGCGCTTACCATCTACGTTAAATACACGGTTGGGCGTTTCTGCTCTCATGTCCTTGTCATGGTACATCATGGTACCAGCTCCTGTGCTGTGCCTGATTCTGCTCGCACTACTTGCTAAGCGTGTCACTTGGATTTCCAAGTTCAAGCTTTTCAAGACAGCACGCTTCTGATTCTGCTTTGATGCAGGGTTGGCTAAAGTTGACATGCACGTCAAAACAGTGCCAAGGTCTGCAAATAGACTCATTCTGTATATTCAGGCGTGGACTCCAGGTAGTGCTAGGCAGTGGTATCATTGCTTCGAGTACAAGATTGTGGAGGTGGAATTCTGAAATTCTGCAAAAGGTAGGCTGAGGATGGGAACCGAAGCCGGAGCCGATCAAAGCCCCACTTCAAGGAATCTCAAGGTCTCTGCCAATCCTCTAGGGTCGATGCCACTGGAGCGCGCCCTTCTCTGACTTACCACTGGGCTTCTGCACCTAGACTCGACTGGCACAGATGCAGCTGCAGTGACGCTCAGTGTGCAGATCAGTGTGTGGCAGAATTGGATCTCATATCATCTCACTCTCTCATTCATTGCGTCATTCATGATGGGCCTCCACCTCTACGGGCCCGATGCGCGCGACGGTGTTCTTGGCCACGGGTGCTGGAAGACTGTGCCTCGAGCTCAAAGGCAGTTCGGAGATCAAAAGTGAGCGAGCGAGTCTGGGTTGGAAAGAGGGATGAAACCAATACAGTAGCTGTCCAAGGGGCGAAAGACAGAGCTTCTCTTCCTGGTCTTCCCAGCTGACGTCGACGAAGAGCACGCACCTCCGAAGATGAAAGCGGAGTGAATGAGCGAAAGCCACAGGACTTGGGAGAGTAGGTCAAACACCAAAGTGTATGTGCGTAACATGAAGTTGTCTGAGTGATCGGCTTGCCCTCCCGCAGCGCTACGAAAGTGAGCCTTGGAGGGGTGAGGGGTGGTGCACTGAGGTGCGGTGAGGATGGCAATCTGGTGATCTCCAGAATGCTCGTGCTAGTAGTTTCACCCCCATTCAACACGACCCCTCTGTTGCTCAGTTTTGGGGCTGAACCGTGTCCGATTTGTTGAGCCATTTCTTTTCAACAGTAGCTTCGAGTAGCTGTCGGGAATTCGGGGATCCTGCGAGTCAAGTCATGACAGGGCCCCAGACTGCAGCAGCGGGTCCGGCTCCGGGCCTCCCCTCGGACACGGAAGTGAGAGCTTCGCAGATGCTATGAAAGGGAGCCCTCTCTTTGTTCTTGGCCCAGTGCTTCTTCTTGCTCTTGCCCTTTTTCACCTCGATGATCTCGTTTACAGGCTTGCTCAGCACATCTGTCTTGTCCATGTAGGCATTCGCCATGTACCTGCATGGGTGCCCAGGCAAGACTACTGAGAGGATGTGTGCCAACGCATCGAAGTTCATCGCGTGACATGTGGAGTACAGTAAGGAGGACTGCAAAGGCGTGAGGTGCAGAAATACTGCGCTCCTACGCTCTCTACAGGACAGAGAAGGGGCAGGTGGCCTGTACTCGCCGTTCTCGTCTGTCTGAGGCACCTCTGCAACGTGATGGTCTGCTGCACCTCTCGCATCTCTCCGCCAGATTCCGCCCTCCAACACTCCGTGGCCTCCACAATCAGTGTCTCGCCAACCTGCATGACCTGTGCAATGATGTCGGGAACAACACTGGCCTGCCTACCTTGGCAGTTCTTGTGCTTCCCTTGCTGCAAGTGCAGCGCCCTCCCTTTGTCAAAGCATAGATGTGGCGGATGCCAATTTGAAATGCGAGGTGAGATGCCAATGGGACCTCTTTTCGTAAGGAAACCGAAGAAAGCTGAGATGCTGGGCCAGCTTGGCTTCCTTGATCCTCAAGACTTTGGCTTGAAGCCAAGGGCACTGACAATATGGCCGTGGCTCCAAACGGGGCACGTCACAGATTCCCACCCTCCGCAAGCATGAGGGCAACAAGCTCAAGTCCCGCCCCTGAACACCAATCTTGCTATAGGGCCGGCAGTCCCGACTCTGCGCGCTGAGACCACGCACGTGGAGGCGAACGCACGCTCACCCAAACTTGAATGGCAAGCAGCACGAGTTCACCATAATTTCATTGCTTTCGTGCGTGCGGGGCAGGAACAACACTCGGATACCACAAGTATCCACAAGTATGCGCAGCTGCTGCTCAGATTTGCTCAGCGATACAGAATAACACCCAAGCGACGAGAAAACTGAGCGAACCAGTAAATTCTCACGAAGGCAGCCCAAACAAATACTCACCTCTCAGATACTCATCAGAAGCGCTCAATGTACAGGAGGGTATTTCAGAACAAGCGACAGGAAAAGATGCCACTCAGACGGTCACAACAGACTCGGACTTCATGCTGATACTCAAACTCGCATGGTGCATATGCGACCTCCGAATGTGCCCATATTCCACACGCCCAGCATGTTGCAGGGGATTCAGTAGCCCAACTGGAGGGGCTGCAAGGAAAATGAGTATGCAGTGTGCATCATTACGCGTGTCTGGCTGCTCGAACCCTTTCTGACGCCATCTTTCCTTTAACGCCAAATGCTCGAGTGAACTGAAGCAGGTATGAGCTGCAAGGAGGGCGACGCCCTGCAGAGAATACACTCATCAAAACAGCTTTGCTATGCCTTGCTATGCCTTGCTGTCTTGGGCTAACACCATGGGACGCGGTGGCAGTTTCTCGCCCTCGCCCACAAGCTGCGTCTCCCAGTCCAGGCCTTACATTCGTAACGGAGACTCGACGAAAGCAATGAAGTTGAGTTGTCTGTTCTGTTTCCTGGCGCCCAGCCCCAGCAGGGTCCTGTGCGCTGTGCAAACAGGCCGTCGCGCTCCTGGCATGTGAACACCGTTGGAAGAGAGGCGACGAGCAGTGAAGGAGACGAGCAGTAACAAGCCTCCAAGAATGCTCGCGGCTGGCGGACGAGCTTGCTCGGCCGCTTGCGGAGGTTCTTGACATAAAGCCTAGGTCATCGTCGGACATTTCATTTCAAAGATGATGCGCTTTTTGGGTTGGGGCGAGTGAACGTACGTGAGGGTGCAGTTTGGGACAATGGCTTGAGCTCTGCGTTCGGCTTTGACAGGTACGAAAGCATGGCCTCAGTGGAGCCGGAAGCCGCTCTCGCAATTTTTAATGTACGCTTGTACACTTCATTTCAGATCTGCGGGTCCAAGGGGCGGTGGTGTTACCCTCCCCCGGCCGCTCTCCACGCAGCAAGGTTACGGTGCGAGGCCCTGACCAGAATGGGTAGTGCGTGGTGGTGCGATATGGTGCAATAAATGTGACGATGGTAGTCTTAGCATGTCTAAGTCTGAAGGGGAGCTGTCCAGGAGTATAAGGTTTGAATCAGCGAGAGATGTGTTGTCCAAGATGTTCTCCCAAATCTTCTCCGCTCCTGAGCCTTGCTCACGGGGGGGACCCAGGAAGTACACGGAGATCCAGGTGTCGAAGGACCTGAGAACAAAACATAAAGTGAAATAATAACGGCACGAGAAGGGGTATGAAATGAAGCAATGGGGAAAAACTACTCAACTGCCCAAACATCCCAAACTTCTGCACATAGTAGGGGCCCCCGGCAGCCTCAGATGAAGGCGAAGCCTGAGACTCAACAGGCCATAGCCATAGTCCTACACTGTGACAGCAGGCTGTACGCAAAAGGAGCCTGGACCTTGACCTTGGCTGAATCCCCTCCCAAATTCATCAGATGACAGACGTGTAGTCCTCACAATACGCGAATCTCTGAGCACCCTCAAGGGGCTTGCGCCGCAAAAGAGGGTGGTGTCGTACAGTATTGGTGAGGTCATGGAGAAGAGGCAGCGGAGATGCTACATAAGGCTAAACCAACGGAGAGCACGAGCTGTGGTGAAACATGGCAGTGTTCGCGAACTTGCAGTGGTCTCCCATATTCTCGCTGACTTGCCAAGAGTTGCTGTATAGATCATTGTTGTATAGTGCTAGTACATTGCGGTCTTCGCAGGAGTTGCAGAGTGAGTCCCACTCTCACGCCCTTGCTGATACCTGAGGCGACGGCAGTGCCATCACATCCTCGGCGGTAGCCAGATTCAAAGGCAGCGCCACCTGAGGCCGGTTGATGCCAGTCGCACAATGTCGCACAGAGGGAAGGATGGGCGGGGCGCAGGCAGAGTCTCAGAGCGAGAGAGAAGAGACACAGAGGGGAGCGAGAACCAACATGACTGGAGTGACATAGATTGACTAGAGGGCTGAGATGCGCAAAGCCATGCACATCGCACCGTGGCAAGCTTGGCAGCGAGGAGGCAGAGAAACCGGAAGAACAGCATGGACGCTCTGACTCTTCTTCTGCCGCAGGATGCTGGAGAGTCGTCACAATTCAGAAGGAAGACATCGGAAGACCGCACCGGTGAAGACTTAGCTGCCTTGAGGGGCTACAGATCATGGACCTCGTCACTTCGTGAGGTTCCCCTTTAGGATGAACACCTTTCAAGATGGTCCTCAACAAGGAGTCCAACTATGCAACCCTCATTAGCTGAAAGCAGCAGGCAGTGTCGCATGCCCAATCGAAAATTCTTTTCATAGCACCATTGCTTCGGCATATCGAGGGAAGGGAAGGGACCCTGCGCATCTCAAGATATCGGTACTCATCCAGGACCCTCCAGCCCTTGGGCGATTACATCTATAGTGCCACAAAACTCGCAATGTTCAATTCGATGCGCCAATATGCCCAATCCACAGCGGGACACGTTGAACCTCCCCTCCTTCCTGTCCGTCGTAAAGTGGTTCTGTGGAGCTTGTTTACAGCAACAGAGTCTAACTGATCCCGAATGCACAATTCAATAGCTCGTCCAAAACTTCAAAATTTAGCCACTGCTGAGCTCGGATCAAACTACTGCTGCTGCTGCTGCTGCTGCGGCGCTGAACCGCCATCACCACATACTCACCACTTGAACGTGCCTTAGGCTAATGCCTGCAACAATCCAGTTTCTTCACAGAGAAAAACGAAAAGTACCCAATTGCACCCGATTTGTCATTACCGTGTGCTTGCAAGCACGCGCTGCGCGTGCTTGTGCGCAGCCCACAGACCCGCTGAACGTGCCTACTCAACTTTCGCGAGAAGTACGGTTTCACAAGGCGAGGGAAGGGCTCATACGATGTATTAGCATGCAAATGTATGTGGACGACAATGAGCCTGATGCGGAACGCCCGCAGTTGGCACACGGCCGCGGATGAAATTCACTAGCATTGTCACAATATTGTAATGTCCCCAACAACTGTGAGTGAAAAAATGTTTGGCTACAGCTGCCAGCAGCAGCAGCAGCAGCAGCAGCAAATGCCGCTGAGAAAATCTGCGGCCGCGGAGACTCGGAGACCAAATTGAGGACGATAACAATCCGCTGACAACAGCGACTTTCTACATTTCTTCATCTTTCTTCGCTTGCGCATGAGGTAAAAAAGTGAGCCGACCTGTGTGGATGAGCGATGTGAAAGAGCTCCCGCTACCATGGACTTTGCTGTACGAGTCTATGCTGATCTGTCGCCTTGTCTTGCACTCACTTTCTCCGACTCTCTGACAGCAAGCTCGCAGGCCTCGCCTCGCCACAGTCCTTCCAGGCCTCGTTCGGCTCCTCGGGCTCTTCGGGCTCGTCCTCCAAACGCGGAGTGTGGCTTAATTGCTGACATCGTCATTGGCTGGCACCTGCCAGGATAAAGAGGGCGGCTGGAAGGGAGGCCGTTCAGCAGTTTGCACCTTGGGGCAGCAGCCGGCGAGGAAGCTTCAGAGTAAACTAAGAAAAACTTGTACTCATTGCTATATAGTTATTTCGGCTTCTGGGCTTCCTTTTCAGAAGATACCCGGGCACTTGCCGCTCTCCACCTCAGGTCCAGGCGTAGATGGTCACGGGTGCAGTCTCCTGGTGCTCACAGTGCCCAGAGGCCCAGAGGCTTCCCCATGCGATCCGCTGAAAACCTTCCGTTCCTTGCGCCCTGCCTTGCGCCCTGCCATCCGCTGCTGATGAAGGACCTGACTCAACTGTCGCACAGATGAGCCGTCACCCCAGCCGATACTGCCTGCGGTATGCAAGTGCCGCCTTCTCAATACGCTGCAGGGTCTGCAGGATGGTGTCCGTGCGCTTTTTCACGCCTGGACATCGTGAGCGAAACATTGCGAAACTGCTGGTCCTAGCTTAGCTGTCGTAGCATGTCCTCGTGCACAACTCCTAGCTGCCTGTATCTGCCTGTGACTCTCACATTGGCGATCAAATCTGCACAACTCGGAGGGCCTTCGAACATTGCAAAGCTGGCCTGCATCGAGGCTTAGAAGTCATCCCAGTCACCCCCCGCTCGGTGTCCTCATGTGTCCTCTCCTCGCTTTCTTTCCTCCTCTCCCATCTTTTCTCTCCACTCCCTCTGCAAAAATACTGCCTCTAGGAATTCATTGATGTCCAGGACCTAAGCGACAACGATGTGCTCGAAGCTTCCGGGGAGCTGACACAGAAAAATGTGAGGCCCTTGCGCCGTCGCCGTTGGTGTCCGCGGCTGAAAAAGCAGCCTCATCGATCCAACCTGCCGGCCGAGAGGAGGGGACGGATATGAGAGCATCAACGGAAGCGCGTATGTTAGTTTGAAGGCATCGTTCGAGACGCGACAAGAACAAGGCCTTCATCCAAATCATCGCTTACCTCGGAAGCTACCGTCTTCTGGGCCGAGATCCACTCCTGTGCGTTGCAGCGATGCAATCAGTCTGTGTCAGGTGCTTCTGCCCCACCTCGGGCGAAAGGTACCCGTCCCCAGACACGTCGAAGAGGGCAAAGATGCTGCGGAGCACCTTGTCAACATTCAACAGGACCGTCAGGCACTTTTCAGTTCAAACGCTTAACTTGCTCATGGCAGGAGAGCGAGTGAAGAAGAAGAAGAAGCACGAAGACAAACTGCCTGGCGGATGCCGGCATGATACCTAGGGCCCATCTTCGCTCTTTCCAGCAGCGCCTCTCACATGATGCATTGTCAGAAAAAGGCAGAGATGCTACTGGCAACGTATGTTTACAGATGCTTCCCCTTCGGCTCCTTTTGTGTCTGCTCGGCCATGTGCTCCAAGACCTCTGCCCGAGACATGCCCATCTCCTGAACACTGGCATATAGAAAGGCATCTTTTGACACACGACCCCGGAAAAGTTGGAAGGCGAAACTTTGAACGGTGGCAATCGTGTCAAAGAAACGAGAGGCATGAGGAAGGACAGGAATTAGAAGGGACACAAGTGAAAGGAACACAGAAACACGCAATGCAAGACAAAACGTGCGCGTTTAGGTTTTCCATTGATGTGAGCAGCGGCACATCTTCCGTCTTGGCCGTAAACCTAAAACAAACATGCCATCCTATACCGTTTATCACACTTTCATCTATATAGTACGGACTTAGTATTGATGCACACGACATGCCAGAAGTGCCGGCACCATCTGACGTATGACATATGGCATATGAGGCGACAGGTGATCTGACGCAGCAACCAACACGTGACATGACCGAAGCATGGGATTCGGCTTTCGGCCATAGCTGAGCGGAAACAGAAGGTTCACAGCTGTGAGTTGACTGCGGCAGATTGCAACCCCTTTATTTGGTACCCCCCCCCCTCCCCAAGCCGATAGGTGTCCGCGAGCGGAGGGGTCATTTGGCACCTGTCTACTCGTCCCTCTGTCCCTTTGCCCCGCTCCTCCTGCCCACCCCCCCCCCCCCGCCGCCCCACTTCTTCACACCCCCCGGCTTCCTTGTCCTTGTTTCGTATTTTGCCACTCCCACATCTGGTGTGCCTGGTCTAGACATGAGCCTGCATGTTACAACAGGATCCCCAAAAGGGAATGATCACGAAGCCTCTCACAGCCCAGAAGCCTAACAGCACCTTCACACCCGCGGCAGGCCCCGGCCAAGGCGGGTCGCGTGTGCAAGAAAGCAAGGCGACCTAAAGGGGCATTCCTTCCACCTTCCACCCGCAGGACAAACCGACGCCACCCCCGCCACACGCGTCTCACAACCAGATACAATCAGTATGCCTTCCGGCTGGCAGGAGGAGGTTTAACTGAGGCAAAGCAGCTAAGAAAAGATGCGCACCAGCCTGGGGCCAAACCGGTGAACAAAAGAACAGAACAAATCGCAACTCGAATTAAGTCTCTTCGAGTGATCCTCACATGGCTAACAAATGATGTGCCAAAACACAAGGATGCGAATAAATGGAAAAACTAGTGTAGCTGATCTCATATAGAGAACTAAAGCACGCTCACTTCATGATTGTTTCCCCTTCTTTTCAATCCTTCTGTGCTCTCACTTCGATCAATCGTTTTTGCTCTTTTCTCTGTTCTTCTCTCTTGCGCGTCCTGATAAGCAGTGAGCGTCCGGACACGGAATTCCTGACAAAGATCCGCAAAGAGAAGTCGAGGAGCAGTGGTTGCGAGGTGCTAGAGGGCAGTGAACTCAAGCGACTCAAGTGCACTGGAGATGAACTTTGGAATATTTTGGGATGCTTCGGCTCTTTTTTGAAGTCTTCGCATGTACTGCTGTGGATGCATGCACAGGGAAGGTCGGAGGCCACCTGGAAGTCCAGGAAACCGCTAGAATCTCGATCCGCCAGCGTCATCTTGGCGTTGCCGGATTCGCCGCGGTACACCTCGGGGAAGGATGCCGTTCCAAGCCAAGAAATCACATTGTGAGCTACTGCATGGTCATGAACGGGGGGGAGTTAACCGAAGAGCAGTCTGAATCCTAAGCGGGATACGATAGTCAGAAGCTACCAAATGAAAACCGAACAAGACCCAACCAAATGAGCATGCTGTCGACTACATGGACGAAATATTCAATGACAGGAGTCATGACACAATTGAGTACGAGACTAGGGGCGAACCGCAGAGAGCCAGATTGGCAAACGGGCTCTCAAGAGTATGGCATGTCTACATCAGCATCTTCAACAACACCATCAAGTAATGGCCTCATGAAAGGTCGAAAGGAGATTGCAGTTCGGTGTCTTGTGATCTGTCCCTTCCTTGACTACGTATTTGACTTCTCTATTACGAATGCTCGCTTCCTAGCTGTTGCTGCTTCGGTGGCAGTTCTTTGAACCCGATAAAGATGAATAATCAGAAGAAGGGTAACAAAAAAGATCAGTTCGAGTTCCGTTGCGAAGGTTGCACGAAGTTCCCGAGCCTCTGGCTAGGCACCATTCATTACTAGCTTTATCGTGCTTATCAGATCAAAATCATCAAAACCTGCATCTTCTCATTTGCGCCAGTCTTTCATGCTGCTTCGCGAAAGGTTGGTGTTTGACTTCATCCGCCATCATTGCCCAACTGAAAAGTCTTTCAGCATGGTTTAAAATACCATCCTTTTCAGTTGTTGGTTGTTCTCTCCCCCTGGTTTTCAAGATTGCCATTTCCTACTCTTGCTCATCAATTCCAGTAACTATATTCCTCTTGAACAAGTGAAGAAGTATTCATCAAATTCGCCTCGGCTTCCTGCCGAGAAGCGTCTGGAACAAGCAGACCCGGATCGGGCCTCCTTCCCCCTAACCCAACCG